TTCCCAGCAATCCATTCTCCCTGTGCTGCAGTGGCTAATGAGCAAGCATTGGCGTGAGCGCAATGAGGGGCTGTGATTGGCTGAGAGTGTCAGCTGATCGCATTCAGCCTATCACAGTGCCTATTCAGGTATAAATTGGTATGGATACAAGTAAGTGTGTAATATTTGAGGTAGCCACACCTCCAATTGGTAAAAAAAATAGAGGGCTGCCAAGGACCCTCATTTAGTGTTAAATTTCTTGAAAATTATTTAATATTTTAATGGAGGGACATTGCAAGGATACTCCAGGCACTATAACCAATTCAATGAGATGAAGTGAAATTTAGTTAGACATGGATAAATAAATAGATCTAATTTAACCATGAGTGCAGCCTATAATTGAAACTTTTTCTATGTATAATTTATAATTGCCATTTCCTCCTATACATTTTTTGTTAACTCCTGATTATGGATAAACGGATATAATTTTTCCAGAGCCAATGCTTTTCTGGCTGATAATCGATGCAGATGTTCTGTACATTTAAAAGGGATACTATATAGTCACCAGAACAACTACAGCTTAAAGGGGCCCTATAGTGCCAGGAAAACAAACCCATTTTCCTGGCACTATAGGTTTAATAGGTGCCCCCCCTCCCGCGGGGCTGAAGTGGTTAAAACCACTTCAGCCACTGTCATTCCAGCGCTGATGTTCCTCGGCGCTGGGTCAGGCTCCGTCCACGCTCCTCCACTGCAGACATCAGCCGGCGGGGTAGACCTAATGCACATGCGCGGCAATGCTTTCCTATGGGGAAAATCTGACACTGCAGGTCAGTGATGACGTCCAGTGTCAGATAACTGACTAAAAGTCTGTTTGGATTCCGGAAGCGCCCCGGAAGAAAGCCACTGAGGGCAGACTTAGAGCTTCAATGTAAACATGTAAACATTGCAGCTCTGGGAAACTGGAATGTTTTACATTGCAGCCTTAAGTGCAATAGGGACAATTAGCTGAAGTGGTCTAGATGCCTACAGTGTTCCCTTAATGTAGTGGTTCTGGTGTCTTTAGTCTGTCGCTTCTTGCTTTTTTTCCCCAGAGAAAAGGCAGTGTTTACATTGGTCCCTAGTTACCCCTTTAGTGGCAGCAACTCAGATGGTTACTGGAGGTGCTTCCTAGTCCAGTGCTGCACTGTGCAGTGTGAAAGTTCCTAATAGAGATGTACTGATTCAATGCATTTCTATGAGGAGATCCTGATTGGCGCGGAGCCGCATTTGGCATTATGGAAAAGCATTGGGGTGGTTAAAATCATCAAAATTAAGGATGTCAGCCATGGAGGCAGGGTCACTTGCGGCAAGACCGGTGCGGTATGGGAGAAAAGCTGAGCAAATTCCCCTTTTCAGGGCCAGTCATCTAAACATTTACACCAGAACTATAGTGTCAGGAACGCAGGTTTGTATTCCTGACACTATAGTGTTCCTTTAAAGTTTTAAAAAAGCAACACAATTTCTACACCATATCTGGCATTAACTGAACACTCTGACATCAATCATACTATCACTCTCAGCCCAGTACATTACGGTATATTAATTTCCCTGACTTAAGTGGAGCTCCCTATAATGTGAAAACAGAGGGGTGACACTTCATCGGCTGCTGGCTGGAGTTTCCAGATGGCGTACGGTGACTGGGAGAGGTAAGAGAGGTATTATCGGTAAGTCATAAGATGATTATCAGAAATATGCAAAATTTACACTAAGCGAGTAGGCCAGGAATTAGTGGCTACTACATATAAATGAGTATTTTTACATGGTAATAATAGTGTGGAGAACAAAGTGTACGCATGCCCACAGCTCCATCAGCTTTGAGACCTGAGAAAGATACACAATGTTTTTAGAGTGGGCAGGCTACTATCTGCTTGTAATGTTTGGCGGTAGGAATGGTGCAATTTTCAAAAGAAAAAAAGAACTTAAAAAAAAAAAAATTTAAAAAAAATTGGTGTTTACAAATAGAATAATTTCTGATATTCCACTAAAACACAGAAGTACTCCCCAAAAAAGACTAGACACTAAAAACTAGGAGGTATCGTGTTATCTTGCTTAATGGGAGCAAAGTGCAGGTCATTCTCAAGGATAAAACATGATAAAAATCACTAACATTACTTTATCTATGGCATTCAGATTAGATTGCAGGGCTTTATTATATATTGTGGGGTAAATTCCAAAGCAACTACAGAAAAAGCGATTTATTTCACTTTGGTAAAGGTTCATCAGTCCATCACTCACACACGGTTAATATCAAACATAGTATCTCCCATCAGGCCTTGGCAGTAATAATTAACTGGCTGTTTATCATGTACATGCTTTCATCGGCATAAGAAAATGATTACCGAAAAAAATCCAAAACCCTCAAACACATCTTAATCTGTAATCAGTGTCGAGACAGACTGATGACTGCATACCTAACATCCCTCGTCAACATCATCAAGACGATGATTTATTTTCAAATCCAATGCAATGTTCCTCATACACGCACAGTAATAGCCACAAAATGAAACCAATGACAGACAGTCACTGGGGGCATCGGTATTGAAAAGTGTGATTTTTCAGGAATTGCATCGTTTTCATCTGCAAAGGTGCAGCAGGATTGTCCCAAAATTAGTTTATTAAGATGAGGCAATTTTGGAGCCCAGCGTCCATAAGTACCATAACCACTGCATCTCAATGTAGGGTTTACTCAGCACTGTCAGGCAGCACCTGATGTATTAATCGAAGTGTACTTTGCTAAAAAACACTAATATTAACAAGTCACAAAACATGATGATAAATGAGATCCAACAACTATAGCCCGTTGTCAACAGACTTATTTCAGAGAACCCAAGACACGATAATGATGTTTATGAAATAACTCAGTATCTCACCATAAAGTCAACATTGACTTCTAATACATGATGATACGGACTGAAACAAGAAAGCGTTTAGGTTTTGCTATGCCCACAGACATGAAAACAAGATTAAGATTAAACAACGGCAATTTACTGAACCATTTAAAAAAATAAAATAAAATTTTTTAGTAAGTAGAAGATAATTTTAGTTTAACACATGTGACAAATTACATAGGAATCTTAAAGTTAAATTGTCACAAATTCCGAGTGACTTATATTTAAGGCCAATATGGTTGAACCATACTTACAACTGAACTATTTTGGCCTTAAATTTAAAATCCACTTACAATTCTTAGCAATTCTCACTTTATGTTTGGTTATTGTCACATGGGATACAGAAATAACACATGTGGTGGAGGTTCAGAGACGTTGTCCCACTTATTTTGAATAACGTATGTAAATAATTTGACAGGTTTTTAGAAAAAGAGGAATTCAAGTAAAAGAAAAGCATAAAAATAAAATCTAGGCTTCACACAAGATTTCTCATTTAAGAAACTCATACAGCTCTTTAAGTAGAATTGGCAGTGACATTTTAAGGGTAAGAGGACAATCTAGTTGAACGATTTGACCAAAAATACGTGTGGCAAGCCTGTTCAACCTTGGTTTATCCAGGTATTGTGGCACAAATCCAGAATTGTGTAAACTGCAATTTAACAAAAGCTGGAGGTTCAAGATCAGACACGCTTACTGTATGGCCTTTTACCCCTAGAATGTGCTCACGGACTATTGATCTGTATTCATTACTTTACATCCCTGATTATGCTGCTTTAGTCAAAAAGTGGTTATTAATGTACAAATGTGATCATCCAAGTATTCGCTTCATTTCGGAGTCCTGTTACCTCTTGAACCAGTAGATTTCTTCAGGGTCTGATATCCCATGCTCCCTCATCTTTTGTACCATTTGTGCACTTTTCTTAATGGCCACTTCGTAGCGTTCGCTGCGAGACAGGAAATTGGGGTCCTCATGTTGAAAATCGGGGTCGTTGAGCACCAGGCTTTCTGTACAGTTAAAATAACCGCACAAAAAAAAAAAAAAAGTTTTAAATTACAGTAGATAGAAATATAAGCTACTTGGAAGGCCTAAGTGGGACAATTGGGAAAAACACACAAAACCTCATGTCAAATTGAAGTGCAGCGACTCTGTTTAAATAAATACATAGTACACAAAAATTCTATACGATAATCAAATCTCTTTTATATTTTGGCACAACTGTCACCTGATATTTAATAAATCAATTACACATTTTCTCAATTTTTTTTTTTTTTTATCCTGAACACCCAATGTACAATATTCAAGAAATGCAGTTTTGAAGGTAAAGTTTAAACCTGGAGCAATCACTATGGCAGGGGTCAGCAAACTTCTGCACTCCAAATGTTGTGAACTACATCCCCCATAATGTTCTTACAGAAATAATTCTGGCACAGCATCAAAGGGACATGTTGTCCAGAACATCTGAAGGGAAGAAGATTGTCTTCCTCTGGCACTATGGAAATCCACAATTTATTTGCAGAGTGAACTTCATATTTATTACTTTACCATATAACTAAAATTTAAACCTAAAACTCCAAAGATTTAGCATCAGATTCTAAATTATTTGTGAATATGCCCCAGTCTAGTTTTTCCCAGTATTTGCTTTTGCCAGTCTTTCCCCAATCTCCCTCCAATAACTCTATCTAGTTCACTTAAGGTTAACTTTGCATAAACTACAAATCTCATCATGCTCAGCCAGCCTGCTAGAGCTTAGTCCACATCAATTGGTAAAGGTTAACTATCCCCCTCCCTGACACTCACCAATCTCTCTCCTTCTCCTGGTTCTCTCTGGGGACCCATCCAGGATGTATGTGATGGTTTCTGGGTTGAATGAGGCGGTGGCCCGCTCTCTGCTCAGATCTGGGTTCATGGCTGAACTGTCACCTGGAAGTGGCCAGAGGAACCTTTGCCTTGACATGTGATAGCATTAGCCACGCCCCCGTTTCTGCCATAGAACTGTGATTGGTTGTTCAGGCCTGGGAGCTGTGGACTACATCTCCCGGCGAGCCTAGCAGCCAGGTACTGGGACTGACTACAACTCCCGGCATGCCTTGAGCGCTCATTTTCACACATTGTATGAATATGGCAGGGTGAGTTACAAGAAGGGAACTGGGAGGCCAGAAAAAAGCAGCTTTTAGTACTTGCCTCAATTATTATTATTATTTTTTACAGGGACAGTAAGCAGAAACTTATATTTTATATTATTTCAGTGTCCAAACAATGTTTATATGCAAACTGTGTCAGTATTTCCAAGTACAGATACCAATTTACTTAATTTCCAAGAAATAATGTCATTTCACATGTGTATCTGCCATTTGTAAGACTCAATGAGAAGGGGGGGAGGCAGGCGCATGCCTAGTTCTCCTTACAGTCTGCGCAGCTGAAAGCCAAAGAAAATCTTACCGTCTGTCTGATTTCCAGCCAGGGATGGCGTTTCTTCCCCCAATTATAAGAGTTCAGAATTGCATTGAAATCATCACTTTTTATAAACTGTCAAAAAATATGACGGACATATTTTTGTGTCTGGAGTGTTCTTTTAAGGTACACTATAGTCACCAGAACAACTACAGCTTAATGTAGTTGTTCTGGTGAGTATAGTCTGTTTCGGCAGGCCTTTTCATGTAAACACTGGCTTTTCAGAGAGAAGACCATGTTAACATTGCTCCCTAAGGACACCTCAGGTGGCAGTCACTCTGACGGCCGCTAGAGGTGCTTTCTGGGTCGTGCATGGAGGCGCTGAGCATTTCTCATAGAGATGCATTGATTTAATGCATCTCTATGAGGAGATGCTGATTGGACAGGGTGGTGTTGGACTCTGCCCCCCCACCTCCTTGGCTGGAAAGCATTGGATTGGCTGAGATAGCCAATACTGATGATCTTAGCCAAAGAGGCGGGATGAGGACCAAGCCAGTGCCGACGGACCCTCGCGGTGCTGGAATAAAGATTAGTTTTACAGCTTTTTAAGGTAGGCGGGGGGGCGAGGGGGACAGTAACTTAAATAGTGTTTTTAACACCATGGGGTCAGTAATACACGTTTGTACTTCTGATCATATAGTTTTCCTTTAATGTACATACTGACTTTAGTGTGGTTTACATTAGATGTATTCAGCAGTATGCCTTGAGGACTGGGTTGAGCCCAATTGAGCTGCACCTTACTGATGAACAATGAATGCTTGAAGGAACATGTCAAGCACCATAACTGCTACAGTGGTGCCGCTCTGTGTAATTTGTCAAACCGTTTTAGAACAGTTTGAAAATTTATCTGGGTTCTCTGGTCGCCAATGCCACATTCGATCTTTTCTTGTAGGTGAAGAAGGGTGTCTTCATAAAGCTAAACCTATCCAAACCAGGACCGTGCTCAACTGGCACTCTCAGCAAATGAACACAACCCTGCATGGTCTTTCTTTGCTCAGTGGAGCTAACTAGATTTTACGGCAAGGAGAATTCGGGAAGCAGGGGCTGCAGGTGCCAAGCAAGACCCAGGTAACTGTTCAAACTGTTCTTATTGACAAACTATAATGAGAGGGCAACAGAGAACTTGCACTGTAACCACTACGAATTCTCTGGGTTTGCTGGATCTCTTATGCAGACTTGCCAGCATTTCAGTTCCAGACTACCCTCGTGAGTGGCATTGGGCTGTTATGCAAAATACATAGGTTCCTTCTTTGGTGGCACAAGTAAGCTAAAACCATGTATGGCACCTGAGCTGGTACTAACCAGAGGTCAAGCTACAGAGTTTTTGCCAATTGCCAGTATTTATGAATTCTGTTTGACTTATTTCCATATCACCAAGATTACCGTAAGTTAAACAGGTAAATCAGATGTGAACCCCTTGCTTACTATCTCCAGGACGGTATTAGCTCACTGAAGAAGCCCATAAAAGACCAAAAGGGCTATCTCTGTATCTCCTGTACAGAGGGCACTTACTGATATTTTGTGTTTATATTGCTCATGTGGATGAGATCATTCCAATATGCAACTATTTTACACTAAAATATCCAGTCTGTGGCACACTATTTACATTAACTACTGGCTATTGTATTAGTACAGTTAAAATATACTATTATGCTGGCCTTATAGTAGAATGCCTCAGATGTCCACAATACCTCCCAACTTCTTTTCTCTCTGCCCGATGCTCCACCTTGAGGCTTTCCTGTTGTCAAAAGTATAATTTATTTCTCTATAAATCAATGATGAGACTCTGTCTTAGTAATTTGGTGCAGTTTTGGATACACGTTTTAAAGAAGGATTTTATAGAACAGGAAAACATAAACAAACATAAACAAAGTTATGTAAATGATAGGATATTTAGGGATTCTGCTAGTGTACCTGCAATAGAGGATAAAACATAGTGCAAATATTGTCTTATACTTTAAAATAATGTGATGATTTGTATGCACTCACAAATTCCAAATTGGTAAAGTGTTTTATGGGTGCCTCCCCACGATGTGGATGGTTTTTTTTGTTTGTTAAATATCCCTCCTCGAGTGATAGCCGATGGGGTATCAGGGTCAGCAAGATGATCCAACAGACTCCAACCAGATGAATACTTCAAAGGCAATTTATTTACTCATAAAATCAGGAGGTGTACAAATAGAGCAATAAAAACAAATATAAGAGAATCACCGGTCCTATGCGTTTCATCCTTATACAAAAGGACTTCCTCAGGGACCTCTTTCAATAAAAACAACAATCAAATGTACAGAAGCTAACAAGGCATCCTAAAAACGCTACCTAACAAACAATCTTATATAGGGCTAATCCCTTCAAATCATTGGTGGAATAGTGGGTGTCTTCCCTTTTCTAAACTTCTATTCGTCCGGTATTTTCCTCCAGGTGTAGCTGCTTTGCCGAGAATGTCAGATTCCTTCCGCATTGATTTCTGCCACTTCCGCATACGTCACGCGCATAGGCGTGCTGGGCACACCCTATTCCCCGTGGCACGCCTATGGTTTGAGTCCTGCAGGAACAGCGTTCCTGCACTTTTTTTGAGCAGGAACGCTGTTCCTGCAGGCACTCAGCCCCCCCCCCGGTCTCACCTCTTGCCCCTGTCATGGGGAGGGCAAGAGGTGATGGATTTCCCCCCTCCCCCCCCCACTCAGCCGCGGCAAGGGAGCTCTCTGCTGTCTGCTGTCTGCTCCCTCTCGCCGCGCGCTGATGCCGGGAGCCGGAATATGACGTCATATTCCGGCTCCCAGCTACAGCAGACAGCCCGCGCGGCGAGAGGGAGCAGAGAGCAGACAGCACACAGCTCCCTCGCCGCGCGCTGAGCTGGAGAGAGGCGCCCGCCCCCACTGGACCCCAGGGAAAAGTCCACCAGCACTCCAGGTAGGAGGCTGGGTGGACATTTAAAAAAAAAATTAAAATATAATAATTTGTGTGTGTGTGTGTATGTGTGTGTCAGTGTGTGTGTCTGTGAGTGTGTGAGTATGTGTGTGTGTCTGTAAGTATGTGTGTGTGTCAGTGTGTGTCTGTGAGTGTATGTGTGTGTCTGTGAGTATGTGTGTGTCTGTAAGTATGTGTGTGAGTATGTGTGTGTGTGTGTCTGTGAGTATGTGTGTATCTGTGAGTATGTGTGTGTGTCTGTGAGTGTGTGTGTGTGTCTGTGAGTATGTGTGTGTGTCTGTGAGTGTGTGTGTGTGTCTGTGAGTGTGTGTCTGTGAGTATGTATGTGTGTGTGTCTGTGAGTGTATGTGTGTGTCTGTGAGTATGTATGTGTGTGTCTGTGAGTGTGTGTGTACGTGTATATATATATATATATATACACACACACACACACACACGCAGAGCCGGTGCTATCTGAGTGCCGGCTCTGCTCTAAGCCTTCATGGGCCGGCGGGGAGACCAAAGATCTACCTCACCGGCCCACAGCAGCTTGGAGGGAGGCAGTAGAGGACCCAGGGAGCTCTAGACAGAAGCTCCGCCAGGTTCCTCTCGCGATATCTGAGCGTTGCTGTGGCAACGCTCAGATCTCGCGAGAGTTAACTCTAGCCCCGCAGGCTAGAGTTCACTCTCCACTGGACCACCAGGGATGGCACATGGCAGCAAGGATTTACTAATCTGCCAAATCCCTCCAAACATACAGCACACACACATACAGCACCTACACACATACAGCTCACACACACACAGTACACTAACCGCACCCTCACAAACACACACAGCACCTTTTAAAAAAAACACAACACCCTCACACACAGCACACTAACAGCACCCTCACAAACAGCACCCTCACAGGACAAACATACACACACAAACACCCTCACACACAAACAGTCACAAACAGTCACAAACACGCACCCTCACACACACAGCACACTAACAGCACACACAGCAGTGTGTGTATGTGTGTGTGTGTGTATATATATATATATATATATATATAGATACATACACACACACGCGCGTGGCGTGTGTTTGTGCTTTAGGGTGCACACCCTAATGCAATAGGCTGCGCACGCCTATGGTAACGCGTTACGCTTTTCATCACGTGACCAGTGTGCGTTCCACACTTGAAAAACAACATGGCCGTGCGTTCCACATCATAATATTAAAAATTGCAACCTGGAAACCGCTATTCTTGCACACAGTGGTTATACCCAGAAATCTAAACGAGAGGGCTGTTAAATATTATATACAAAAGCAATAATAATATATCCTCTATAATTAATCAATAACTGAATCGTTTTTAGATTGAATGCAATAACTTCCTATCCAAGTTAACATTCAATATCCCTATGCAACGTAGCCCTTTCAGAAAAAATTGTGGGCAACTATTGCAATGGAGACTGTTTTGTTATATGGTTATCAGCTGGGAAATAACCTTGGGAAGCAGTGTACTTATAAGTTAAGGTTTTTTTTATATATTTTACACAGATCACTTTGTTCACGGGTGGTTGAGTGTATTTGTTTTTTTCTATACAAAAACAAAGTTAGTAAGGGGAATAGAAGAGTTTAGTTGAGGTGTAGATAACACGAATTTGGTTACCATAAAAAGAATGTGTTTCAGAAGTGTTAGTATTGTATCCTGGTCTTTAACAGGACAATTGGTCATCCATTGAGTCCTGAAGAAAGGCAATTGGAACAGATTTTTGATCCCAACCCTCTCATCTTTGCCATTATTGGGTCAAGAAGGAAAACTTAGCATTTTCATTTTTTCAGCACAATCAGAAATGCCTCAAATCAAGGGTTTTCTTTATCAATCAACAGTGAAAGCAGATGTGTTTCCAAACCAGGCTTTTTTGTAACTTGTCTAATCTGGACTTTTTTGTTTATTAATTTGTAAAGTTAACAGTAAAGTTAAAGGGACACTATAGTCACCATAACAACTATAGCTTATTGTATTTATTCTGGTGAGTATAATCTGTCCCTTCAGGCTTTTTTGCAGTAAACACTGTAGTTTCAGAGAAAGGGATACCCCCACTGGCCACTCCTCAGATGGCTGCTAGAGGTGCCTCCCTGGGCCATTCTGCACAGTTTGACTGACATTCTGTGTCTCCACCCTCTGCATGGAGACACTAAACTTCCTTCATAGAGATGCATTGATTCAATGCATCTCTATAAGGAGATGCTGATTGCCCATGTCTGTGTTTGGCTTGTGCTGGCTCTGCCCCTTATCTGCCTCCTTGACAGTCTCGGCAAATCCAATGCTATGGGAAAGCATTCTGATTGGCTCACATCATTATTTCGGATGATGTCAGCCAAGGAGGCAGAGTACTGTATCTGCTTGATGCCCTTACTCTTGGGAATGCCAAATTATGGCAATTTATTTATCTATTTTGGATTTCTTAGATTTTCTGCTGCATCTCTCTGTCAGTGCATATCCTGACAATATTTAAGTTTTGTCCTTCTGTTCTTTGTACTCCAGCTGTCATTCAATGGAAATCCTATGCCTGAAACAAATCTGACCTTATCGGCGTATAATATTAATTACCTGGTGTATAAGGCAGCACATTATTAAGGTGGATGTCCTCCATTCCTAACGTACCCTCCATATTGTTGTATAATGTTTTTTAAATAACTTCTGTCATCATATATTGCAAAGACCCCAATAGTGACATTGCCGCTAGGGGTGCAGTAGAGGTGCTGATCTCCATGGGCACCACCAAAATTGATCATCAACATTTCATTGGCCAGGAGCCAACATCAGTACTCTGCTCTTGCGCATGCGTGTTAGTACAACACCGATGTCCATGGAGAAACCTGCAATCCCGCAGGAGTCTCCATAGATATTAACTTATGATGAGTGAGACAATGCCTTATTTCAACAGCTGTTGCTAGCGATGGCTGTAACAAGTGACAAAACTTGGCGGTGTTAGCTCTGCCATTTCTCAAGTTTTGCAAATAAAACTTATGTTTTATGATAGCTTTTGACTCAATTGGAATTTCAATGAAATTCAAACAAAGTCTTTATGAGCGTTACATTTAAACTATACATTTTATCTTTATGAAACGCTAAAATTCTATTGGGGGTGGGGGATTTCCAAAGCCACCTTAAGACAAAACTTCACCATTTCAGGGGCAAATTGCTGGATTTGGAGCAATCCATATACCAGCTATTGAAATATGTAACTGAATTACCCAGCATAAACTTACCCTCCAGTTTTTCCTTGATATTAATTTTTTAAAAGGTTGCTTCAAGCACCGTTACTCTTGCAGTGATTTGAAGTGGCCATGGTGTTGGGAGTCTGTATGTTCAGGATTTAACTATGAAAGGCTGCACATACAGAGTTCAATACCTCTGCTGCAAAAAAGTGTAACACTATTATTACTATTGTATTTTATTGTATAAATGTTTACATTGTTATTTGAAAAATCTTCAATAAAATATTTGAATAATAAAGTGTGACACCACCCCTAGGGCATCATTAGCCAGCCTGTAATTAGAGTTCCAGGTACCTAATATTAATTATGTGCATATTGGACATCTGATGTCAGCATACTGGTAGCAGATGACCACTGATGACATGCCCTCCCTGACATACCTCCAACAAGGGGTAACCCATCTGATAATATATTCAGAAAAAATGGCTCATTTGGGATACAGGTGTCAATGGAAATAAACATAATAATCAAAAAATAATTAAACTCTGTGTTCTAACTTTCTTTCAGAGTCCCCTGACAAAAAATGCTTCCAGCAGCTGCAGAATATCAATACCTTTGGGAAATAAGTTCTGGAAAAGTTTCTGGCGGAGCAACTGTGCGAACGTTTGGCAGGTTTGTGCCCTAATATTTTCCAAAGCTGAAATGTCTTTGCATATTGATATAGAGATATCGATTTAGGTTTATTCAACAATACACAAACCGTTCCATAAGGGTTTATCCTTTGTAGATATATTCACTAAAAAGCCAGTGCTAAAATAAAAATGAATTTGCATCATTTAAACCGAAATAGCAGAGTTTGGAAAATGCCTCACTGTTTGACATAAATTAGTATTTATTGAATGATTACAATTATTTATATAGCAGTGCTGTACAATAGGTAAACAAGACAAATATTTGATTCTAAGAAAACCTAAGGGAACAGAAGGTGAAGGAGGCCCTGCCCAAACGAGCTTACAGTAATGTCTCTATTAATATGTGTTTTTCATAAATGTAAACTGATATCTGGAACCATGAACGAATCTATACAAGTCAGTAGGATATACAAGAATCTATACAAGTCAGTCAGTTTGCATATCATCACAAAAAGAAGTGAAATGTCCAACAATCCGTATAGTTTCAGTGATATACCTTTATTTGTGGTCGTATACAATAAGCTATAGTAATGGTGTAAGTCGGTTGTGCCAGAACCGACGTTCAGGTAGTCCTGTAAAAGAGGGCCCCACAAGATGAATGGCTTAATAAAGGGAGTGGTGGGTGGGCTGAACCAGCCTAAAGGAAGGGGAGGTCTGTGTATTTATAACTCCTCCCACAACTACAGGTTTTGCCTAACTGTTAAGCCTTCTCATTTGTGGTCTTATACAATAAGCAGAGTTATAGTAATGGTGGTGTAAGTCGGTTGTGCTGTGCCGGAACTGATGTTCGGGTAGGCCTGTAAAAGACGGCAAAAAGTTTAACACTGAATACATGTTGACAATACATAACCAATAATTCAATGCATGTCTCAATTCCTCTCAGGTTCAGGGATATATATGGCATATGCAGATGACTCTATTGTCCCAGCCATTAGATGATATGTACTGGGATATTACAAGAGGTGGTAGGAGCAGCGCATATTCTTTTAGAATGACCTGAAAATGTTAACGGTTGTATTCAAGTAACTTTAAGGTGTTGTGAGCTAGATAAAGGTTGAGGTGGCAAAATATATGTGAACGCCTTCATGGAATCAAATGATTATGGTTTGATGATTTCATATGTGGAAGTGAGTTTATTGAAAATGGCCAGAGCCCAGCGTATCAACAGGTGGCATTGACAGAGAGTGTTGCATGTGCCAGCAACTAAATCCTGGAATGTAGGGTCTTGGCAGGTCATTTGGCCACTGTGGGGAGAGTTTGGAAGAATATGAAAAATGTAAGATTATGTTAGCTTTAGTGTACTAATAATCTTAATTTTAATAATGACAGGAGGCGAGTATTTTCATTATCTTTATTTACTAACTCCATAGCAGCAAAGAAAAGTAATGAGAAAACTGAGAACCAATCACAAACAAGCATAGGTTATAAGAGGCATGTCTCACTTGAATCGCTTCCTCTTTAAACTGCGACATCACAAGTTCATCAATCAAGAAAACGATAGAAAAACACAATGTGATCTACTTCTAACACGAACATGATGAATAAGGTCCCATCGAACAGGCATCTTGGGTTAAACTGAAAAGAGAATATAAAAACTTTTAGTCTCTAGAAAGGGTTGTATTAAAACGTTCACCGTTACAGTCTATTCAAAGTATGATACATATAAAACAATCCAGTCCTCCCCCAGCTAGTGTAACTAACTAAAACAAACAATCCCGTACAAACCCAACTACAAAGTCCCAAAGGGAAAAAAGAACGTTAGTGTAGGCAGTAAGTAGTACCAACATATTATTATGATAAAGCTATATGCAAAAGAAGTCAAAAAAGGGGACAGAGAACAGTAAGAGAAGAGAAAGGGAGGGAAAATACTCGCCTCCTGTCATTATTAAAATTAGGATTGTTAGTACACTAAAGCTAACATAATTTTAAATTTTACCACATGACAGGAGGCTTCATATTTTGCCATTTTAACGCTGAGATAAGAGAGAAAAGGCTGTAAATAGAACGTCCAAAAAGTAGATTCTATCGTCCAATCCGCAGCCCGTAAAATGTCGGAAAGTGAGGCCCCGCAGATAAGGCGGATGTGGCTGCAAAGGCCTAATCTATCCCAGCGAGAGAGAGCAGCCAACGAACCCATCTGACCAACATTGTGTCCGAAACAAAACCATACGGGCTGACGTAAGAGACGAGAAGTTGCTGGGAGGAAGGAGATCGCAACGTCACAGTGGCTTCCACATAGCAACGCGGGGTCGATACCTCACAAAGTTGTTGGTCTGAATGGAAAAAGGGATAAAAAAAAAGTGGAAGAATTTGATTTGGTATGGCGTGAGACCTGAAAGGTAACCCTCCCACGGGCAAAAAATAAACGTGTGTCGAGAGCAATCTCGCCACATTGCATTGGAGAAGCCTGGTTGCTCGCCTGCTGCCTTTGGACTATGGCCCCCATGTTAAAAGACTTTGTTTCGCCTGCAGAAAAGCTTTATTCGTGCTTTTCTGCCTGGTGTTCGGTAGATTCAATCTACCGAATAACCGCACGAATGACTGGAATACCTGGGAGCTGGAGTGTGCCGGCAATTAGCCTCCCTGAAGCTGCGGTTAACCGCAGCTTAATTGACGAATGCTGGGTGGCCGCCATTCGTATCACGAACACGAGGTCGCAGCCATTTTAAACATGCGAACGCACAGCGGTGTTCAACGCTTAATTCATTGAACTGAAATCGGACACAGTTTTGCGCGAACACCGCTGAAGCCGCCGACCTCCCTTCTTGTTTGCTGAAAGTGCACGAACAACCCGGTGTTCGGTAGTTTTGCTTGAATGTGTTATACCCCAGATAGGAATCCCATGGAGCCCATTCGCATGAAACTGACTGTGTAAAGACTTTAGCTCCATGGCGATTAAACTGTATTCGTGTGGTCTGAGCGCCATTTGCTCAGACCTGAGCTATCTGGGGACATGTTAAATGTATAAGTTTATTGTAATGTGTCTTACATAGTGTATTTCAACAGTAATTCGTGTTTTAGTATCCCCCCGTGCATAATGGCGATTTGCCTTTGTCTTGGGAGATAATTTAATGACTTCTCAATTATCTCCAAGGCAGAGGGGAGGAAGCCAGGATGCATTGTGGGAATATAATGTGACTGTGTGTCCTATTTGTCAACTTGTCTGTCTTTTGTCACAGTCTCCCATTTGGTCCCCTAGGGGAGTGTCCACCAGGTGGGAGACCTGCATAAATACTGGGCAGGTAGCCCTCATTAAACAGACCACTGCTTGACCCTCAACACGGAGCCTTGTCTCGTCTTTGGGGGGATTTACTGAATGCTGATAGAGACTGATTGCTAGGAGTGTAAGCCGCTTGGATGCTTTTCCTATTCGTCTGCTAGCAGCGATTCGTATGGTTCCAGTTCGTGTGTTTGGAGTGCTATATTGGATGCCGTTCGGGAGTTTGGAGCATTCACTTATTGGCGGTTCGTGTGTTTGGTGTTCTACAATAGCTGTGCCTGCATCTCTGAAAAGGGGGATGATCGCCTAAACGGTTTTAACCCCTTGTGTGCTGAAACGGTCCGTTACAAAACGCATCGGCGTCTAAAGTGCGGACATCCGAGACCCATCAAAATGAGACAAAGCAGAGGAGAAAAGTGAATTTGGCCTTAAGCTGGCGAAGGAATAACTTATCCTTCGGAGGTCAATCTCGCAAAAATTGCAAGACGATACTGAAATCCCAAAGTCACATGAATCTGGGTTCAGGACGGCAGCGTAGCCTCATGCCCCGAAGAAGTCTACAAATGAGGGGATTTTGTCCAACTGGAATCCCTTGGAGCGGGATATGAGCCGTTGAAATGGCTGACCATACCACTTTAATAGACCGATACGTTTTTCCAGTTGTAAACAGAGAGTTGAGAAAGTTTTGGCCCAAGATTGCCATGCAGATAGGTAACATCTCCTAGTTCCCGAATATTACTCGGCCGTTCCAAGCATGCATATAGTTCAGCCACCAGTGCAGTTCCGCCCAAACGTCGTCCGACATCGGGACTGGTTGAGCGTAAGTTGGATTTTGTCGTAGGAATTTGATCTTGAGGCGTTGCATGGCCCTGTAGTGTAGGGGACCCAGGAATATAGCGTGGATGGATGAGGACAGAAGACCTACTATACGTGCCAGTAGGCGCAGATGTATGGACGTCATGCGAAGAAACTTCTGGATTTCCCTGCGGATGGAGGTGACCTTGTGGCTGGAAGACGTAGAGTACAAGATCTGGAGTCTATTTCAAAGCCCAGAAATTGGACGGATTGTTGATCATGAAGCCTAGTAATTCCAGCAGGTGTACTGTATAATCGGTGTGGTTTCGGAGTTCTTTTGTCGAAGATCAGGGTGTCGTCGAGATATACGCTACATCTTATGCCGCGGGCCCGAAGGTGCGCTACCGCAGGCTTCAGCATTTTGGTCCAGCACCAAGGGGCCGAGCTGAGGCCGAACGGGAGGCAAGTGAACTGCCAAGCTGTTCCGTGCCAGTGGAAACGGAGGAAGGAGCGACTCTGCTCGTGGATCGGGATAGTCAGATAAGCGTCCTTAAGATCTAGATGGGTGAAACAGTTGTTGTCTCAAAGCAGATCCCTGAAGTTGATAACTGGGCGAAATTCTCCCATCTTCTTCCTGACCAGGAAAATGTTGCTGAAGAATCCGGTCGAATCTGGGGCCGGTTGAATAGCGCCCTTGGTACACAGGTCCTGCATTTCAAAATCAGGTGAGCGTCCGCATGCGTTATGTTGAGCGGTGCGCAGTGGAAATCGTTGGACCGGGTTTGTCTCGAATTCGATGCGATAGCCTCGTACAGTTTGTAGGATCCATACGTCCGTGGAGAGGTCTGCCCAGTTCTGAATTTGTTTTAAAATATGGCCTGCGATCTGGACAATAGTTAGTGGAAGGGTAAAATGGTGTCTTACCGTTGGAGAATCTCGCTCTGGAGCGTCCTCTGCCTCCTCGACCACGGTCTGATCCCCTGGAGTAGTGGAAAGGCTGTGTCCTGGTGGTGCGGGGGCCCGATGGCCAGAAACGGCTGGTGGCATGGCCCGCAGAAGACTTTCTGCACTGATGACTGAGCCTTGTTGAGGGATGTGAAGATGCTGATTGAAGTTGGTTGTATTTGCAGCCTTATCGGGTAGTATGGGGCGAGGACACTCAGACCTCATGTGTTTTCGCACGTCCTTGTCTAGTGGTATTCGGAGCCAGGAGTGCATTAACTTTGCAACATGCTCAGGGGGGTCCATTCCTCACAGCGGGGGTGGCGTATATTCCTGGGGTCGAACATCCGAAGGTCAGAGGTGTCCAGGAAGGCCTCAGAGTCTCAGAGCGTCCATGGTCTGGGCTCACCCAGGTATGTATCCCCTGTAAGGAACGGGTCAGATATGGGAGCAGAGTCCCAGTCACTCTCCTCCGGTTCGGAGGCCTCCGTCTGCCATTCATCCAGCACCGAAAGTGCCTGGGCTGGTCCTGTGTCGTCTTCCTCCAAGGAAATCTGTGCTGACCTGTGGGCCGTACGGGTTGCGGTCTGTTTGTGTTTAGCAGGGGCTTTTCCTTTGGATTTCTTTGCTTTAGTGTTTTCGTCTTTCCAGTGGTGTGTAGGTGGTCGTGACCATTCTCCGTTGAGGCAGGTACCGCTGGGGCAATCATGTCTTGCAAGTCTGATGGAGTCTGTGTATCTTTCATGGTCACTTGCTACAATAACTCGGGGCTCACCCGGTGGCACTAGAGCGTGAAGGCAGGAGTGTATTGGCACAGAGGGTAGGTTAATAATAATAAAAAAAGGTCTTAAGCACTTTGTTATCTTTTATAGACCTTTTTTATATTTTTTTATATTTTTTCAATTACATTTTTTTATATATATTTTTTTTATCTATTGTAATTTCCAAATTTTGTTCATCTCTTCCTTTAGCCTCCTTTTTAGGCTAACAGTCTCCCTCTTATTTTTACTAGCCTCCCCTATTCTACATCATGTCTATATTACTGCCTATTATTATGCATTATCAATGCACTGTATTTGTTATGGCTCTAATACCCACTATAAAATGCCTGTTAAATTATCCACATATGCAGATTCCGGTCCTTTTAATTAATATACTTTGTATATCTGTGCAATTGTGGAAGTCATTTGTTTTGCTTATATATGTATTTTAAGCTTCCACTAAAATACCTCACTCCTCTCAAATATGAATGACATTGGATGCCTATTTTAAAATTGATACCCCACTTTCATCTAATATGAATTAAATTGGACGTTTATTTATACCTCTCATCTTCCTACCCCATATTATGGCCACCAGGCTACTATGTTATACATATGTTAAAAACATATTATATTCATAGAAGATTTACTATCATCTTTTAGAGAGTATTACGATCTATAATATGTAATTAGCGCTTGGAATGCAACGCACGCCATTTTGACGTTACGTGCGTTCCAAGCATGCATCCCATGAGCTTATACAAACCACGGCGAATTGGGCTATGCCACGTCACTTCCTAGTTTGACGTGTGCGTTTCACAGTGGCATACAGGAATTTGCCGACTGAACTCACACACAAACTTGCCGCATCACTTCTGGTGAAATAGAAAATAGAAGTCACCAGGTAGCAACTCACAATCAAGCTCATCCTATATATACAGGACATTAAGAGGACCACCCCACGCTTTTGAAAAAGCCTCTGGACAGGCGAAACGCGTCAAGTGGGACACCCTTGCTCAATTTTTAGGACACTTTGTTGTTCCTATGTTTTTTTTGTAATAAATAGTTATTTTTTACATATAACTATTTGCCTCCTGTTTGCTACCTGATACCATCAAATCCTGAGGTAGGGATTATACCACCCATGCTGTGATAGCTAGAGCAGGCATTGCTCTCAAAAATGTAAGTACATTACTTCTCTTTAATTCTAATTTATAGTACTTACTACACCATTGGAGTTTTTTTGTGCTCTTCTACTTCCATATATACCACGCATATCTGCATTTGCATCTGGAGGACCAGCACTACTTATATCATCATATATCCTTAGACGGGGATTGTACCGTCCACGTTCTATACAGCAGAGCTCTGATATAGCGCTATTAAATGTGAGTGGTTCTCCTATAGCTATTATTTACACAAATTGCCCTTTACCATATTGTACTGTACCATTATTGTTCTTTTTTTTTGTTACCCTAAGGTTCACAGCACTGTACCCTCTGAAGTTCTATGTACGTATAATTTTGGGCGCAGTATACGCCATATCTTTTTTCCGTCTAATTATTACATGAGGTCTTGGGAATCCTTGTATTGTATACAGCAGCCCTCACTAATTCATTGCACTATAGAGAGCGCCTATAACCTTTGTCTTCTTTGCATTCCTGTAATCAAATGCTGCTAGTAGAAAAAGTGCAAAAAGGCTTTAGTCACAAACTCACTGATTGCAAATGTCACCAACGGGTTAACTTTTTCACTTTATTTTTTCATACACAGATTTACCCTTTATTTTCATTTGGGCTGTTTACTTTCCAGACGACCATACCTGACAACATAATTGGCGTGAATGTAAAACTGGTGGCACTTGGCACAGATTGGTGGCACTCATCACAGTCATTTAGATCAATGACAGAATTCTAAAACCAAATTCAGTCTAAATACATTCCTACTGACCGAATCTGCACCATTTAGCTAGATGTATTCTCTGTCTGGTTTTAAACCAGCACATCTGAATCCTGTAGAATGTATAGGATGTGGAAAATTAACAAAGACTAAATGTATACAGAAGAATTAATAAGCAAATTATTGTTTGTTTTTTGCAAGCAACAGACACCATTTGCAAGCAACCAGTGGGCAAATAGTTAAAATAAACCCTCAGAGGTGCAACTGCTATAAAGCAGGGGACCAGCGCTTGGTATCCAACCACCACATTAAAATATAAATAACTGATTTTTAAAAAAGCATATAGCGGTCAGTATATCCCTAATCTTACTATAGAGAGATTTTAATTCCCTTATGCCCCCACCCACCATGACACCTTAAATGCACTTGATTTGATGCCATGCATCCGATCAGCATCAATTGTGATACAAGCCGCTCCTCTGTTAACTAAAGGAAAGTTGTTCGTTATTCCAACATTAAGAGTGACGCAAGCCGCTCCTCCTTCAACCAAAGCCGTACCGTGTTTTATTCCAAAATCAAGTGAGGCGGTTTATGCCAATATTATGCAAGCACAGCGTAATTTCAGCAACGCTGGCCAATCACATTTTGGTGTCACTTTAATGACACTGGCATCTAACATGAGACTGCTCATAGAAAATTAAAATAAGGCTGATTGTGAATGCCAACTATTTCACATGTATAGAACTTTTAAAGTAAATAATATTCGGCTGTTTTGTGCCATCAGACTGCATTCTTTTTTTATAATTCTTTATTTATACATTGACATACAATACAACTTGTAAACATATAATCATGTAATCGGCTTGTGCAAAAGCCGGGCTTTTGTGGTACAAATAAACAAAAAAAAGAAAAACTGTGCATATACAGAAAGAAGAAAATTATTTGGTTAGCAGTACGTTTGTTCTTCGAGAAGCCTGTTTTTTCAGTCGTTGGTTTTTCAGCTGGTGTTTTGATCTGTCAGTGTTTTTTTTTGTTTTTTTTTTTTTGTTAATTGATTGTAACTCTTGTATCAGATTGTTTCTGTGATCGTGGGGTTCAAGTTCAGGAGATACCGTTTTGGGTGTGTTCCTGAAATGGTAAGGGGGGGGATTTTGGAACTCGTGCGTCCGTTTCGTAGGGCTTTGTGTCATTGTCTGGCTTGTGTGCGTTTTATGGGGAGTCATCTCGTTCCCTATGTGTTCATTCAGCGTCTGTTGGACTGTGGTGGGTGATACCGTACAGTTGTGATGGACAGGGTGTTGGGGGCTTTTTATCTACTTGCTTGTGCGCTGGCTGCTGGCCTTTCCCTGAAGTAGTTTGGGTATACTGCATCTTTACGATGGTACCCTTATGTTGTGGTAGTATCTTGGCTTTATGTTGCCGATTTTGCCTTAGTTTCCCTGGGGTAGGGTTTCAGTCGGGAAGAGAGGAGGTTTGTTCTCGGGATCATCTGTTTCGTTTTTGTATCATACCTTCCGGTGGTCTGTGGGGTTTGTTTGTTTCTTTGTGTGTTTACTTTGGGGGGATGCTAGGTATGTGGTGGCAGTGATTTGGTGTGGTTGTTGTCTACCTTGTTGGGGGTCCGCTGGTGGGCGCTGAGTTAGGGATAAGGGGGAGGGTGGGATGCTAGATTATGGGGAGAGGGGGGGTGGAATGGGATGGCGCACCGCGTTGTATATTAGGTGTGGGTTGAGGGCTCTGCGAGCCATGGGTCCCAGATTTTGTCGCAATGTATTGTGGTTTCGTGAATGAGAGCCGACATTCCGTCCATGAGCCTCGCCTCATTCATTTTGCGTTTGACATCTGTTATTGTTGGGATCGTAGCCGCCCCCCAGTGGGTAGCTATGACTCTCCTTGTTGCTAGGGCTAGTTTGGCCAAAAGTTTGTTGTGTGCGCGGGGTGTGTCTGGCAGAGGTTTGGATAGGAGCCATAGCCAGGGGTCTGTAGGGATGGTATCATGTAGGACCCGTGATGCAAGTGTCGCTATGTCTCTCCAAATCAGACTGCATTCTTGATTATCTTTTATTTATTTTTCTTTTTTTCTTTCTATTCAGACTTAACAGTTATGATATGGCTAACTCGGAAGCCATACTTGCAGTACAACACGCTTCTACCCAGCACCAGCTACAAGTGCGCACAACTCTTGTAGAGCCCTTCTCTGCCCACTTAGGATCATATTACATGGCATTGGGGGAACTGGAGTCCGGTAAGTTGAAAACGTAGATTTCAACAAATTACCTATTTTGCAGATACTGAAACAATTGCTACTTTATCTGTTGCCAGATGCCAGTCCCATACTGTGTGCGCGCTTGTTGGTTTGCATTGATGGTGCTGACCTTTCTCTTCTCCAGCAAGCAGTGGAAGAACAGAGAAGTTATCTTCAAGGAAGACATGAAGAAACTGGTGGGAGATGACAAATGCCCAAATCATTTATGTATTACTTGTTTATACACTGGAGCTGCCTTTAAATATTTGTCAGCTTATATGTAAATGTGTAGTCCTCCTCTAATACATACTCCAGACTGTTCACTTTATCTTGTGAGGCCATAAACCCAGATTCGGAGTAGACTATTTTGTGTTTTCTCTAAATAACAATTAATATAAAGGGGGGGGGTAGGGGGGGGTGTTGGAGTTATATATAACTTTCATAAACTGTTTCTGAAACCTACAATTGTGTTACTTAGTAAATTATTGCAAATTATTTATTGCCATTTGTCTTTATACATCCTACACTGTCTGTCTGTTCCTGCAACCGTGTTGGGAAGTAAATCTGATGATTAACATATCAGTTGGGTTATGATCAATATGTTAATTTGGTTGTTCCAAAACACAACTCTCTTGATTTTGTCATTCAGTTACAAATTTATTTCATGAAAATGGCAGAATTTCAGACTGACAGGTAATTTTCACGTTTGCTAAAACCAAATTTAAATTGAAATACATCCCTACTTAACATTCTGCCAGATGTACTCTGTGCCTCCCCGCCCGCCCCCCAAAAAAAAACAACAACCCACAGTTAAGTAGATATACCTCCAATGAATGCATGCATGCATATCTTCATCTACGTATTAATTGGGAGTGTAGTCTAAAAGAGCTAACAAAAGCTGCAGTTCTTATGACTGCAGCTTTTGTAAGCCCTCCCCTTTTTTCCTGGAAGAGACTTTCAGTCTCTTCACTGGGAAATAACCAATCAGAGACTTCTGACTTGGTCTCTGCGTGCACTCTGTTACATCCACATGTGCCGGCACATGCACACGAGCATGTCACTGCGCGCACCGTCGGGTCTACACTTCTGAAGATGAGGAGCTGGTCCGAGGTCTGTGAGAGAGGGAGGGGGAGGCAGGCACACTCAAGTAGAGCATGCCTGCCACTTCCGTTGGCTTAAGTGAGCTAACGGAAGTACAAAGGAATCCTCCCTGGCTGTTTGATTGACAACAAGGGGGGAGTTTCCTAGTTAATTTATGAAAGTGCTGATTTGTCATTGAAATCAGCACTTTTATAAACTGGGATTAAACTAGGGTACACTTCACCCATAAAGCATTTCAGCAAACGGAAGTGCTTTTAGGGAGTGGAGTGGTCCTTTACGTTATGTGGCAGGTAGCCAGCACTTGGTATCTAACCACCACATTAAAATCTAAAATATGTTGTGTTTTTTTTTTTAAAGAATATGGGGGTCATTAGGTCCTTAATATAACTATAATGAGTTTTAAACTTGCCATGATGCATGGCTGTGAGCAGCTTGCGGTATTTGATCCCCCCTGCCTTCACCTTTGGGGGCTAGTAAAGGACCACATTAAACTGGTACTGTTCCTCTTCGATCTTGAACTTGATTCAATGGTATGCATCTTCCGACATCTTTGAGGGAAGACATGGAAACATAGAATGTGACGGCAGATAAGAAACATTCGGCCCATCTTGTCTGCCCAATTTGCTAAATACTTTTATTAGTCCCTGGACTTATCTTATAGTTAGGATAGCCTTATGCCTATCTCACGCATGCTTAAAGTGGTTACCCTCTACCACTTCAGCTGGAAGGCTATTCCATGCATCCACTACCCTCTCAGTAAAGTAATATTTCCTGATATTATTTTTAAACCTTTGCCCCTCTAATTTAAGACTATGTCCTCTTGTTGTGGTAGTTTTTCTTCTTTTAAATATGGTCTCCTCCTTTACAGTGTTGATTCCCTTTATGTATTTAAATGTTTCTATCATTTCCCCCCTGTCTCGTCTTTCCTCCAAGCTATATATGTTAAGATCCTTTAACCTTTCCTGGTAAGTTTTAGCCTGCAATCCATGAACCAGTTTAGTATCCCTTCTCTGAACTCTCTCTGAAGTATCAATACATTGACTTGGCCATTCCAAAACACAACTCTTTTGCTTTAGCCATTCAGTTACAAATTTATTTGAGTTTTTTATATTATTATTTTGCAGCATGATCAACATTTTATTAAGCACACAGATGATCAGATATTCTTATTTTTCGAAGTAAAATTTTTTGGGTAGTTAAAGACATCAAAAGAACAGTGAGGAACAGTAGTGGGGAAGAAACGATTCACATTATTTAATACAACAGACTGACTATCAAGATATCAGTATGAATTCAATAGTGTAGCATCACATCTCACAAATTCGAAGGGCTACACAAGGAATGGAAAGATTGAGTGAAAGAACAGCAAAATAAAAAAAATGTAGAGCCAACAGAGAAGTAGTAAGTGAGAAGAAACATATTTAAAGTGACCAAAGATATTGTCTCTCCAGTTTGTCCCAGTGGCGCCAAATTCTATGGAATTTAGACTCGCAGCCCAATAACCTACAAGCCATTTCTTCATGACTCATGGCTTGCTGAGATGATTGGACTGGTGGGGTGGGGGGGAGGGGGAGAATATCTTACAGTTTCCATTGTTTGGCAATATTAATATAAGTTGCCAGGATAATATGCAATATCAAAATATATCCTTTGATATATGATGGGAAAATGTCTAATAAGTAGCAGCTTGGAGTCAATGGTAGACAGATATCTGTAACTTGTCAGTAAAGAGAATGAACGTGAGACCAGTACAATGATAACAGAGGGCGTGAAGCATTGGGCTCAGCCATTTTTGGCACCTCCATCACGCATTTGAATGGTTTGAGTGAATATAAGTCAAAACAAAATGCAACCAAATACCAGCAATAGAGCATTTTACTACTAGCTTTCTAGTGGGAGATACACTCAGAACTGACGATCTCAGCCAATAACAATGCTTTCCTATAGGAAACCATTGAATTGGCTGAGATTGTCAATTCTGATGATCTCAGCCAAGGAGGTGGGGCAAAGGCGGAGCCAAACACCACCCTGCACAATAAGCATTTCCACATAGAGAAGCATTGAATCAATGCACCTCTATGGGAAAGGTTCAGCATCTCCATGCAGAGCACTACCCCTGGAAGTACCCCTAGTGGCCACTAGAGGTGTTCCTAGGCTGTAATGTAAACACTTAATTTTCTAGGAAAAGACAGTGTATACATTAAAAAGCCTGCAGGGTCACACCAGAACAACCGCAATAAGCTGTAGTTGTCCTGGTGACTAAAGTGTCCCTTTAATTCTAACTCAAGTTAACAAGTCTTTATTTGGTAAAGTGTAGTGTTGGCCCGAATAAACTAATTGTTTGTACAGTTCAGTCAAAAAGTTCAGTCTAAATATTTAGCTCTCTTTACCAAAATTTGAAATACCAACTTAACAAAATGATACTCAGAGTTAACTTGCATCTGTGTTTCTCTCATCTGAGAGTTTTTAACTGAACTACAAACCACTTGCTGTACTTCCTGATAATGTGCAGACGTATGGTAGAACGCTGTGGGTTACGAGGTTGGGACACAAAGTCTAGGTTTATGGAGCTGTGACATTAAATGAACACTATAGTCACTAGAGCTTAATGTAGTTGTTCTGGTGTCTACAGCCTCTCCCTGCAGGCTTTTTAATGTAAATACTTATTTTTCAGAGAAAAGGCAGTGTTTAAATTACTGCCTTGTAACACTCAAATGGCCACTAGAGGTGCTTCCTGGTTGCAGCACTGACGCTAAATGCTCCTCATAGAGATGCACTTATTATGCGCTATAACCTCCCAATGCGTTTTTAAGGGAAAGCGTTGGATTGGCTGAGATCATCAAATATCATGAACGCAGGCAAGAAGGCAGGGTGAGGATGAGGCCAGCCACGAGGAGACCTGAACAGTGCTGGAAATAGGTGAGTAAATCACCTTTTTAATAGGAACAGGGAAAGTGGGGGCGAACACCTAAATGGCACATTTAGGCCTATATTGTCAGAAATACACATTTGTATTCCTGACACTAGTGTTCCTTTAAGTCCCTAGGTACATTTACCAGCATGAAGGAAGTTTTTTGAATGGAGGAGATGCTACAGAAGAGGCAGAATGTTCCAAAACATTTCTGTTTTTGCAAAAACTTTATAAAATAGAGCGTGCACAAACCTCGACTACTTATTTAGGTCAGACACTATGCAAGAAATTTATGTTTCCTTTTAAAATATTGTTCCCAGAAGATGTTCCTTTTATCAATGCGATCTGTATTCCAGTGCCAAATGTAATTACCACTTTTTTTGTCATTGACTTGAAATTATCAGTCATTGTTTAATGTGTTTAATACACAAAAAAGGAGCAGCATGCATTCCCCTCCCAAAGCAGGAAATGGCTCTACCTCCCAGGAGGGTAATTTTTTCTCTCTCCCATAAACCCCTGGTTAGCAATGGAACACGGTGTATGTAACTCAGCCCCAAGCCCAAGTTCCAGTGCAAGATATTGTCCTGCTCCATTTACATAACATGAAATGACAAAGGAGGAAGAAAACATACTACTTAGACATTCCTGTCACAAGGGGGCTGTATAAGAGCTCCGATATTCCAAGTGAATATCTCTGCTGAATTTCCCTTTAGCTGGATGCTCTGTTCTGCCTGTGCGGTCAGGTAAGCATTGACCTCTGTTATGGTTTTTCTGACCTTTTCTTAGGAAGAATGGATGAGCTTCATAGAGGGCCAGCCGGATTCTCACTTCTCACTGGAATTCGGTCTAGTCCGTGGATGAGTTGGAGGATGCACTGCTGGCTCTGTCACCTTCCATGAGTTTGACAAGGATAGCCTTTGGCTTGTTGATGGCTATCTTCCCCTTTGCCTCTAACAGTTCTTTAAGGGTGCTCCTTTTCAGTGTTGCATAGTTTGTCTCCATTCACAGCCCATTCGCTGTTCCATTGCTCAGCAGGCTGGGCCTAGCTCCCTTCAACTGCAAAGGCAGATCCCACTGCTGTCACCAGATGTAGCAGAGTTTCGATATCCAGACTGGATATCTCAGCTGAATTTCGTTTTAGTGTTTATAGCCCAATTCCCCAAATACCAGACGATACATAGTGTAGGACAGAACAACCTTTACTGAAAACAATGCAGGTTTATATGCACAGACCCCCAGCATGGTGTCTCCATCAAAGGTATAGGTGATCCCTCCCAGGCGTCTCTGTGCCTGGGAGAGGATTCCAGCATAACCCACTTAATTGAATCATCTCCCATACACAGAGCCTCACAACACAAAACATGCCCAAAGCATCAGTTTAATCATGAACCCCCCCCTCCCACATATATGAAATCCACAGAAAGTGCACACTTGAGCGCCCAATTCAGGAAAATAGTGCCTTGATTTATGGTGTACAGTGAAAACACCACTCAGCTAAAGTTTTGGCTTTCTACAGTCGTCATGCCAAAGGTGGCTCGAGCTCAGGGCGCTAAGAGCTGGTTCTTCACATAGCCCCCCCCCAATAGCTTAATATATGCAATAACACATTATGAATCATATGTCGATGGACAGGTCTCTTTTCCCCAAGTGTAATGTCCAAACAAAACAGCGACCGGATCAGAAGTGCCAAGCCCTAGGGATGTTCAAGTAAAGTCTTGACCGGAGTCTGAGTGACTTTGACAAGGGGCAAAAAGTGATGGCTAGACAACTTGGTCAGAGCATCTTCAAAACGGCAAGTCTTGTGAGGTGTTCCTGATAGGCAGTGGTTAGTAACTACCAAAAGTGGTGCACTAAAGGACAACCAGTGAACCGGTGTCAGGGTTATGGGTGCCCAAGGCTCATGGATGCATGTTGGGAGAAAAGGCTAGCCCGTCTGGTCTGATAACACAGAAGAGCTACTGTGCATTGCATGTGGGACTGCGTAGTCACAGACCAGAGTGCACATGATGACCCCTGTCCACCACTGAAAGTGCCTTCAATGGGCACAGGAGCATCAGAACTGGATCATGGAGTAATGAAAGAAGGTTGCATCTTGGTTGCGGGCATTTTACCAGACGAATCAGGCAAAACTTTAACAGGTGACCCTGGTGGCCGCAATATAGGCACAGGCCTTCCTTCCTCCCCGAGAGAGAGGCGTGTGAAGCCTAACAGCCTTGGCTCCACACCGCCAGAGGACTCAGGACTAGGAGGCTTGGGAGATGAGGTAAGCTTGGTTGGGGAAGAAAAGCTTGGTGCCAAATATACAGGAGACCTCCACAGGCGCTCCCTGAACAAGGGTCTCTCTCGGAGTCTGATATCAATAAGGATGACAAAGGATATCAGTTCCTGAAGATCTTTAGGTAATTCTCCGGCTGCAATTTTATCCTTAATAGCATCAGAGAGCCCATGTGAAAAGGCAAACACGAGAGTTCCAGTCACCCCCTGCTGCCAGGGTATGGAATTCACTGGAATATTCGACAATTGTTCTCGTGCCCTGTGCATTAGACATGAGTTGTTTGGCAGCAGAGGTGGAACGAGCTGGAATATCAAATACCCTTTTAAAGGACGCAACAAATTCAGGGTAATTGTAAATAATGGGTCTCTTTGCCTCCCAGAGAGGATTTGCCCAAGCTATGGCTTTATCAGACAGCAAAGAAATCATGAACCCAACTTTGCTACTGTCAGCTGGAAATGCCTGGGGAACCATTTCAAGGTATCCTCCAACCTGGTTTAAAAATCCTCTGCACTGAGCTAGGTTGCCCCCAAAATACGGAGGAAGCAGGACAGACCCAGCCATTCCTCTAGCTGCAACAGGTTCAGAGGCTATAACCGATGCTAGAACAGGAAGTGAGGCAGAGGCGGCCACAATCGCAGGCTGGCCGGGTGCTGGATCCAGATGTGCAGTACGAATCAGGAGGGTCTGGGGTGCATGCGCACACTGGTCCAAACGGTGGTTCTGCTGGTCCCACCGAGTAAATAGGTTAGGTATAGGGTGGATTGCCTGTACCATCTGTATTCATGGCCCTTGCGTAATGTTAGGGACCAGGAACCAGACAGAGACAGAACGTAGATGCAAAACACCTTTATTATAAATAGCAAAAAATGACATAAAAGCAAAGTCCAGGAGGCAAGCAGGGAGCAGGCAACAAAGCAGGTAGTCAGACGAGCCAGGATCACGAGAACGAAGAGCAGCGGAGTCAGGAACAAGGCCAGAAGTCAGGAACAAGGAATACACGGGATACAGGAAGTCTTCTGGGAAACAGGAAACCACGCAAGGGCAAGGAGGTACTGGAACTTGCTGCTTTAAAAGGCTGCACTGATTAGCAACAGGGCAGGTTACAACAATCAGGTGAGTAACCGTGGCAACATTAATAAAGGAACTGATTGTTAAAATCAGCTGAAAGATCAGACACAGAGAAAGAAAGGGTTGCTGTTTAAAACCGCAAAGAAAAACTGACACTCACACTCAGTCACTCACTCACTTATTTTTAAAATAAGTTTACTTATGGTTTGGATCCTCCTGCTCAGTCTCCGGCCTTCTGCCTTCAGCCTGTCAGCCCGAGCCGACGCAGTGTGTGCAGGAGATCTTTATCTCCCACACTGTCGGCTCTTACTATTGACAGCCTCCTGGGTTATTACAGGACACAGGGGGAGCGTTCACAGTGCCTCCTGTGTCCTGATAGCACGTTTAATGTCCCCAGCTAAGTGGGAAGACGTTAAACGTGAGTCCTGCGCATCAGGCAGGACTTAACTCGGAAGTCCCTCTGGTGGCTGTCTGAGTGATTGCCACTGGAGGTGTTCCTAGGTTCTAATGTAAACACTGTATTTTCTCTGAAAATACAGTGTTTACATGAAAAGTCCTGCAGGGATCTATTGTACTCACCTCAACAACTCCATTAAGATGAAGTTGTTCGGGTGACTATAGTGTCCCTTTAGTATAAATTTAAGAGAAATGCATCTCATAAAAAGGTTAACACAAGGTAAAGGTAATTTTCAAGGTTTAATTCAATTTGGCTAATTCCAGTTCCCCTTTACTGTAATATCTACATATACTCAGTCGCAGGATACTATATGAGCACTGTGCTCTTAGCCCATCATTAAAGGAACACTATAGTCACCTAAATTACTTTAGCTAAATAAAGCAGTTTTAGTGTATAGATCATTCCCCTGGATTTCACTGCTCAATTTGCTGTCATTTAGGAGATAGATCACTTTGTTTCTGTTTATGCAGCCCTAGCCACACCTCCCCTGGCTATGATTGACAGAGCCTGCATGAAAAAAAAAACGTGTTTCACTTTCAAACAGATGTAATTTACCTTACATATTTGTATCTCAATCTCTAAATTGAACTTTAATCACATACAGGAGCCTCTTGCAGGGTCTAGCAAGCTATTAACATAGCAGGGGATAAGAAAATCTTAATTAAACAGAACTTGCAATAAAGAAAGCCTAAATAGGGCTCTCTTTACAGGAAGTGTTTATGGAAGGCTGTGCAAGTCACATGCAGGGAGGTGTGACTAGGGTTCATAAACAAAGGGATTTAACTCCTAAATGGCAGAGGATTGAGCAGTGAGGCCGCAGGGGCATGTTCTATACACCAAAACTGCTTCATTAAGCTAAAGTTGTTCGGGTGAATATAGTGTCCCTTTAAGTCTTCTATTTAAGGGAAACTGCAAAAATCAATACAAAGAAACACTACATTTATTTAAGTATGCATAGGGATTTGGGGTAACACTTTTATTGGTTTTTATTGTATGTATTAGGGCTGATGTGTACTATGGTCATACCTGCCGCCCAGGAGCCTGAGTGCAGGACTTATTTTTGTGTATGTGTATTTGCTTTTGTATCACACAGCCAAGTTACAATGTTGCTGCCCACCCCATGTGTTCCCTATTAAGGGTTAATAAGTATGTAGAGGTTTAGAAAGATACCCCTCTCTGTCTCATTAGACATTTTTTCCCCACTTAACTGAAGGAAGCAACGTGAATTGTTAGCGTAGGACCCACCTAAGAGGTTTGCTTTGATGTGTCAGGTGGGCTTACACCTAATGGCCCTTGGAGTGAAACCAAAAAAAAAAAACACCTTAAATTTATTTAAGTATTCATAGAGATTGCAGGTAATTCTTTTCTTTTTGTTTTTATCAATACAACTTTATTTGATTGTTTTTGTCCTTGTTAATATGCTGTTTGTTTGTGTTGGGTTTTTTTGGGGTGGGGGCTTTGCATGCGCGGATCTTTATAGTTTTTGCTCAAAAAATATTTATGTTTTGCAGAAAATTGCACCACAAGCCTGCCTGTTTAGCCACCACACACCTCACTCCAGAAAAAGACTTCCTTATCAAATGTATGCACACCTTCAATGCAATCTACATTGGAAGGAGAAGACACTCAGGGAGACATGTTGTAAGGCTACCTGTTTGTAGTTTCTCTGACTATTTTTCATCCAGGTTGTACATTGAAAGCAGTTCAATCAGTGCTATTGGGGCTAAGCTGTGTGCATATATTTGTTATGGAAGTGTTTTTTTTAAAGTTAGGGGTTGTGGCTAAGTAGGTAGGCTTATGGTGCAGCATTCCGAATAACATTTAGATTTTTGTGCAAAAACTATAAAGATCCGAGCATGCAAAAAATACACCATATTACTTAGGCCAAAACGGTTTATGACATTTGTATTGGTGCCTTTAGTATTCATTTAAGTATCAATAAGGTTTTCAACATGGATATTGGATGTTTAATTATAACTAATTTGCCAGTGTAAATAAAAGTTTGCCCATGGTCATGGCTCGATCTTACAGACCTAAACTGTTGTCACCTACTGATATTATTGGTGGTAGTCTCTCAGCTGTAGAACTTTTTGGTTCATCTGCAAAGATTCGGAATGTCATCATGCTCAAAGAATGAACAATTGTGGAAGGTTGTGGAGCTTTTTCTCATCTTGAGCTTTAGCCTTCTCTTGGACCCATTCACCCAGGACAAAATATTACTCCCAGGGGTTCTATGATGCAGGAGTCAGCAAAATGCTATATCGTGCCTATTTAGGGCTGCCTAGGTTTTTGGGACAGCATATTATACATGATTTTAGTAGAACTAGTACCATAAGGACCTCCACCTTTTTCTTGTTTGCATTAATTACCGCACCAGATTTCTGATAGCAATATTTTGCCTTGTGTCAATTTTTACAATACACCCAATCAAACCAAATGCAACTTAAGTAGCACCTATTGTGAGGCATTCCTTGAATTGTGATCAAAGTACCTTTCCTTCCCCCTTCCAAGCTGGGTTTTCCCCATTAATTTGTAAGGGGATGCCTATCATTTTTGTAATTTGTGCTTTGAGTTTGGTCCCTCAACAATATTTTAATATATTGAAACCTAAGAAGACTATGAATAAAAAAGATGTTTCAAAGTAAAAATATCCAATATATAAGGTTTTAGATGTTTTTTTTCAAGGCCTAATTTTTTGGCTTACATTAAACAAAGAGTAGGACAGCATGTGTTATTTATATATATTCTTATGTATTCTTTATAATAATTCATGACTGATGTATGATTACTCTGCTAATATGTAACCCAAACTATTTAAAATTTGCGATTAGATTGAAATCATTAACTAGAAAACTCAAGGCCAGTTTCCCATTTATTAAGAGAAAAGGAACACACGCTATTCAACATAGACACAGTATTTCCATTATAAAGAATCCAGAAATTGATTTAAAACAGAACAGCAGATGTATTCATTCTAAAACAGGATACAACAATACAGCTCAATTACAATACATTAAAATAGATATCGGACGTTCCCCTTTCCCCTAGTACTTGTAGGATGTCAATGATGGAATGGTGTTCACAGGACGGTAGACAGCAGGCTGGTAGCTTTCTGAAGCTGCCTGGAGCAACAGAAGTCCACTCCCTGGGTCTTTCCGACATTGAGCCATGGCTTCCTTGTAGCTCAGTTTTTCTTTTGTGATTGGATCAGTGATAGTCTTCTCATAGTTTGCTTCATCCTGTATTTGCTCAGCCAAATCTTTGCTCACCATTCCCTGCTCTACCGCATCTGAAACTGGGATTCTGCCTGTCTTCTTTGTATCAATAAGACCCCCTGTAAGATGCTGTACAACCAAATAAGGTAATGCTGTTTCTTTAGACATTAATCCTTTCTGTACAGCCTCTCCCACTGACAAGCGTTTCTTTGTTACTGGGTCCTCAACTCCTGTGAAAGCTTTCTGGGCATTCAGTAGACTATGTAGGTTGTTACCATCAATCATGCCTTTGTCTATGGCTTTATGAACTGAAAAACGTTCCTTATTTATAATGTCGATAATGCCACCAGTAGCAGCCTGGGCTTCCAGCAGCTTCTGAGCTGTTGCTGGATCAATCATTTTTCTTGTTATTGCACTTCTGATTGGACATTTGCTGTCAACAGTAGTGTCATAAATTCCAGCAATAGGAAAGCTGTCATCATGGAAAGTCTTGGGAGCATTATGGCTAACGAATGTGCGTGTTTGGGTTTGATTGGGTGGTGGCGATTTAGGTCCAATAATGGAACCAATAGACATTGATTGGGGCCTGTTTTCTCCAGCAACGAGAAGGGCAAATTCTGATATTGGGATCCTTCCATCCCTATACATCTGCAGTTCTTCTTTGGTAATATTCTTAGTCCTTAGTGCATCTTCAATGGAATACTGCTTACCACTCTTTTTATCCAAAAGAACAGATATTTCACCACTGGATCCTGTGGTGGATATCTCCTCCCAGTCACACTCTAATTCCTGCAACTGGATATACTGACTCCTGTCTATAATGTCTCTCTTATAAGCTTCGTAGGGTGACATTTCCTTCCCAGTGTCTGGATCCAGGATTGAAATTTTTGTGGAAACATTGGTTTCTCTCATTTGTGTTTCCTGATTACGCTCCTCTCGGTTAACGCGAGATTGTAGATCACGAATATGTCTTTCCTTCTCATAAATTTTGTCTTTTTCACCCAGAATTTTGGTTTCTAAGCGAGAAAGCTCATGCTCCATCTGAATCTTCTTCTGACGTACATTCTCTGCCTTCTGTGTTAGCAATTCTGACTCTTTATTCAGGAAAACACTCTTCTGCTGCTGTTGTCTTCTGAGTTCAAGCAGTTCATTTTCTATTGCTGCCTTTTCCTGTTGGGCTATAGATCTAGCTCTTTGAAGCTCTTCTCCCTCCTTGGACCATGTCTTCTTTGTTGAGGCCACCTTATCAATCTTCTCCTTGAGTCTTCTGTTCTCATCTTCCGTGAGTTGCCTGGCATTACGCTCTTTATTATAAAGTTCTCGCAGCTTGGCCCTTTCATTCTGAAGTACCTTATCTTTCTCTACTCTGATAACATCCTTGTAGATGGTTTTTTCTAGTGATTTTTCTATTTGCAAGATGTCTACTCTTGACTGTAGGTTTTTACATTCTCTTTCTATGTTCATAATCTTGCTCCTTTCTGTATCTAATTCATTGCGCAGTGAATTGGCTGAGTGCTCCATCACAGGATCTTTTTCCACTTTTACCACTTCCTCCATCACAATCTTCTCTTGCACAGGTGGAGGTCGCTCTTCAATCTCCTTGATTCTCATTGTTATCTGACGTAGCTCCTTCTCGGCAGCCAACTTTTTATCTCTCTCTTCTTGGAAGTTTAGTCGTTTTTCTTTTTCTTCCACCAGATTACGTAAGTGCTGCACCTCCCTTTCCAGTCGGCGTCTGTTACTCACTTCCTCATCCAAAGTTCTGCTAAGTCTGTAGTGTTCTTCTGCTATTTTGGGATCTTTCTGCAGGTTAACTACTTCTTGTACTACCACTCTTTCCTCTGGTTTCCTCCTTTCCAGTAGCAGATACTTGCTTTGCAAGTCATATACTACATCTTCTTTTGCTCTCCTTTTCTGTGACTCATCACGTACTTCCTGACGCAAGCGCTCTGCCTCCTTTATCAGTAAAGGATCATTTTCATACTTGACCACCTCCTTGTTGACAGTTTTTGTCTCCACTTTTGACCTTTCCTTTTTCCACTCATCTCTTTCTTTAGAAAGTTTTGACTTCTGCTCCAGATATCTATTGTTGTTTTTTTCAAGTTCATCAAGTTGTCCTCTCAGCCTCTCATTCTCCTTTAACACCTCTGGGGTCCTCTCAAGCTTCACTACCTCTTGAACCACTTCTTTATATTCCACTACAGGCTTCTGTGACTGTAAAAGAATCAAATCATTGCGAATTGTGCTCACCTCTTTCTCTTGGAAAGATTTTTTTGAAGCTATATCTTGCAAGGCATTCTTCAAACGTGCAATCTCTTTCTCAGTTTCAGGCTCCACAACAAATATTTCATTGACTCGTTCCTTGATTTCCACCTTGGGTTTCTGTTTGTCCACCACTACATACTTTGACTGAAGCTCTGTCACTTCACGAGTTAGGGTCACGCTCTTTTTCCGCTCTTCTTCTATGAGAGTTTTAAGCCTGGCAGCCTGTTTTAGTATTTCTGGGTCCTGCTCCACCTTTTTTACCTCCTTTACTATGACCTTAGGTTCCACTGACCCAATTGTTCTCTCCAGTTCTTCTATCCTCCTCTTCAGCTTCAAAATATTGTCCTGAAGAGACTTTCTTTGGAAGCTTTCTTCATCAATCTGCATTTGTAAAGTCCTGGTAGCCTTTACTATCTCAGGGTCTCTCTCTAGTTTCACCACCTCCTTTACAACTACTCTTTCTACAATATTTGGTTGTTTCTTTTCTAGCAACAGGACCTCTTTCCTTAGACTTTCTAGTTCCACAGTAATTGAGTTGTTCTCATCTTTCATACTTTTGATGTCTTTCTTTAATGTTGTTGTCTGAGATTCTAGGTTAGGGTCCCGCTCAATCTCTGTGACCTCTTTGGTGAGAAGCTGAGGTTTGATGCTCTTTCTCTGGTTCTCCAATGTAATTACCTTTTTGTTAACCAATTCTATCTCTGATTGTGTTATTTCTCTGCCTTTATATGCTTGATCTGCTTGGCTTTTTAATTTTACCAACTCACTTTCCAGTTTTGGGTCTCTGTAATACTGCACCACCTCCTTCTCCTCCAGTCTTTCTACAGGTCTTTGAGTCTTTAATAGCAGAAGTTTCTTTCTGTTTTCTTCTAGTGACTGTTGCACTGCACCCACTTTTTGTTTCTCTTCTTCCAGTTGTTTCAAAAGGGTCTCTGACTCTTGAACAGATCTCCGTGTATTTTCTGAGCGCAGGTTGTTCTGTGTTGTTACTTTAATTCCGTCCTGAGTATCTGACTAAAAAATTAAAAAAATAAAAATAAATTAGTTTTGTGTAATAGTGCAAAACTAGAAATCCTAAATTGCATTTTTTTAACCTCTTAAAAGTTGAAGTTTACAGAAGGTAATTATGCTTAATTTTTTTTTCTCTGAGCTATGTCTATATGGTAACGTTCTCTACACTTTAAATATTCTATCACCATGACAAGCCTTCACATAAAAGGGCTCACACATCATCTTTCATGGTCCTAGTGCTAGCCACACTTAGATGTTTCATTGGTAAACTGAGAATTTAAAGTGAACTTAAAATTGAAGGTAAAAAATGCTAAACAAGAAAAATTCTCCAAGTCATTGAAATTCACTTTGAATTCTTATTCTTCTCTAGTGAATAGCCTTGTTTATATGGACCTGTCATCCACGCAATGTGTGAATTAAGAAGTATATGACCCATATTGTTACAGACCAACTAAAAGGATAATTAATTGTAGAATAAAGCCGTTCGTAGGTGCATTGGGTGGTCAGTACAATATGAGCCAGAAGAAATAGATTACCTTGTCTAGAATATTCTTTGCAAATGTCATCTGGTTCAGCTGTTGCTTGCTTTCCACCTCAGTCTCTGTGTAACGCTTCACTAAATCCTTTTCCTGTGGATGCAAAAGAATACATAAGAGTCTGTCATTTTATTATAATAATGTTATATCCAAATGAAGCTGTGACCAATATAAAGGGTGTGTATGTATATGGGCCTTCTTAACGTTGCTGACCAAAATTGTGTAGTTAAGGATCTACTAATTTCAGGGAAGCAATGTGACAGCCAGATTATTGGACAATTGTCACTATTTAAAGCGACACTATAGTCACCAGAACAACTACAGCTTATTGAATTTGTTCTGGTGAGTAGAATCATTACCTTCAGGCTTTTTGCTGTAAACACTGTCTTTTCAGAGAAAATGCAGTGTTTACATTACAGCCTAGTGATAACTTCACCGGCCACTCCTCAGATAGCTGTTAGAGATCCTTCCTGGGTCATGGCTGCCTAAAATGCATCCAAACATTCAGTATCTCCTCCCTCATCATGCAGACACTGAACTTTCCTCATAGAGATTCATTGATTCAATTCATCTCTATGAGGAGATGCTGATTGGCCAGGGCTGTGGTTAAATCATCCTGGCTCTGCCCCTGATCTGCCTCTTTGTCAGTCTCAGCCAATCCTATAGGGAAGCACTGTCATTGGATCAGGCCACCACTTCTAATGATGTTAGCAGACTGCTTGTTTTTCTCAGTCTAACAGCATGCAGAGTTACAGCTTCAGGCTTGAATACAGTAAGATTTTTCTATATTTATGGAGGCATGAGGGTTCCAGGGGGGCTAGATGGTGGTGTTAACACTATAGGGTCAGGAATACATGTTTGTGTTCCTGACCCTATAGTGATCCTTTAAGTAAATGGAAATGATAGACGTGCAACACCAAATTATATTCCAAAGAAGGTTTTATTCCACCAGTGTGTACCTGGTAATTTTTCTATCCCACCTGAGATCTTTGTCAATCCAGATTTTGATATTGGAGAAGAGGAGCTAAAGAGAAAGAAACAATGCAATTTTTTCTCCACAGCTCCTCTGTTGGCATATCACTATGGGATGAGGGACTGAATTAATGGCAGCAAATTCAAATAGTAGCTGTTTCCTGGAAGTGTAATAAAGACAGATTTGGACATAGATAAATGCCCTAAGAAAAGAGCTCTATCCTTAACTAAAACCCTAGTGCTAAGCCCTGAAAAATAATGTGATATAAAATAAAATAAAAAAAATAGTGAATTGCATAATAATCAAAAATGATGCCATCTTCTGTAGACCTTGGTTTGTTTTGATGTCTCCCAAGATTTGTGGATTATAGGCAGCGTGACCACATCTGCTTATTTTGCTTACTAAATAGTTAAGGTGCCTTCGTACCATTCCTGCATGATTTACTTTTTGCCAACTTGTCAAGATGACAAATTAGGGCTTTAAATCCCCGGCAATCAAAGAGCCAGTAGTTGCACCTTCTAGCTCTTGGGGTGCATAGCAAGTGCTATTTTGCAGATTTGCAAGTGCTGGTCCAAAAGAGCTTCAAAGACTGCTTATGTCTTTGTGTTTAGTGGTGTTTGGTACACATGCCACTAATTATCAATTTAGGGGCAGCCTTTGAATTTGCAAAGCACTTGATCCTGAGAGCAGCACTGGCATGATTTGGTATGTTAGCCATGAAGTGTAATTGATGGCTCTCTATTTGGCAGAGCTTGCATGTGTACCATGATCTCTGTTTTAAAGCCTAGTTTTGTCAATTTGACAAATTATTCAAACTTGGTATCCTGGCACCATAACCCTTTCAATAAGCCAAAGTGGTTATGGTGCTCATAATTTCTCTTTAAATTTATAAATGTGCCCACTTGAGGGAAAGATTATACTCACCAGAACAAATACAATAAACTGTAAATGTTCTGGTGACTTTTTCTGGTGTCCCTTTAATTCTAATATTATATTATATTTTTTCTTAAATATGTATGGATAACATTTCTACTCAAAACTTAATGGATGGTGAGAATTAGCAGGAAGCTTTAGTCTAGTCTTACTCAATTGAATATACTCTCACACCATGCAAATGGTAAAGCAGAAGAAATTAACAAATCACCTTTACGTCTGCATTCTTCAGTGTTTATTGCTATACTTATGTTGACACATAAATATCTCTTTAAGATACAAAGCAAAATGTTGCTTCGCAAACAATAACTGAACATCCTCTATGAACAACTATGAATTTCACCTGATTTAAAATCCCATCTTGCAGTGTTGTGATCCGAGTCCTTTTAGGATCAGTAGCTTCAATGTTGGGATCTAGAGTTGAGCGATACCGTTCATTAAGTGCGCCATAATCCTGGGAAAGAGAAATAATGTTAAATTATAATGGATGTTTTCTAACTTTATCCCAAAATTGGAATTTACTCGCTAAACTAGGAGTTGTGGAGAACTGACAAGGGAACCCGAAGGCCAAAGACGAGACTAGGCTTGAAAAGTAAGTGCATTTGACACTTTTTCCAAATATGACAATTTTGGCCTTAAAAGTTCCAGTTTCCTTGTCAGTTCTACAGATTTCTTGCACTGGTGAATAAGCCTTAAAGGACCACTATAGTCACACAGACCACTTCAGCTCAATGAAGTGGTCTGGGTGCCAGGTCCCCCAGGTTTTAACCCATCAGATGTAAACATAGCAGTTTCAGAGAAACTTTGCAGGGTTAATCGCATTCAGGGTGCAGAACGTCCATAGGAAAGCATTGACAAATGCTTTCCTATGGGTGTTTTTAATGCGCATGCACATTCCGTTCCACGCAGGAGCTGACGTCGGAGTGGGAGGAGAGGTCACCAGTGCCGAGGGAGCCTGGCAATGGATTGAAGTAAGTAGCTGAAGGGTGGAGGGGTCATAAGGGTTATATAGTGTCAGGAAAAGTTTGTTTTCCTGACACTATAGTGATCCTTTAATATGCAGCTGCACTGTCAAAATCAAACATTTAAAGGATGTACACTTTCAGTAGGTTACGTGCAATAAATTCAAGGCTCCACTATTCAAATTCACTAAAAGTTCTTTTAAAACTAAATTAAAATAGTAAAGGAACTGTAAGTGAAAAACAACAATTAATCAATGGATGTGCATAATCCAAATATTGTTACACAACAAGTCACATCAAAGACTGAAACACTATAAGTATCCTAGTCTGCAGATAAAAGGACTCTAGGTATTTCAGGGTCCTGCTTATATCCCATCCCCTATTTTTAAATTTTGCATTTTTAATGCACTGTATTTGGAGGTAATGAATATTACCTCCATTACAGTTTTTAAAACTATGAGCTACAAGGGGTGGATTTGGATTCATATTGCCCATTATTGAACTAATGTGTTTTTAAAAAAAAATATTATTTCATCTATTTTTGTCCTATATATAATTTCCTGCAGCATGTGCAAGTAGCAGTGGAGTCGCTAGGGAGGGGACAGAGGGGGCCATGCCCCCACCCACATCATGCCGTAATTCCCTTGCGCCCCCCCAAATGCAGGCACTGTATCAAGGTGGAGAATAATGAATCCTTCACCTGGCATTATTAAAAAAAACATTGTGCCAGGGGGCGGGGTTTACCGTACAGCGGGGCTAAATGTGTCCAGAAGACATCGGTCAGGGTAACTGCTGCACAGGAAGGGGGAAGCAGGAAGGAGTCCCTACTTCCCTAACATCCAGACTCCAGAAGCTACACTGCCTCCATTCCAGCCCATATAGGACAGAGGTAAGTGTGTGTGATTGTGTTTGCCTCTGTGTGTGACTGTCTGCCTCTGTGTGACTGTAACTGTGTATGTGACTGTATGTGTGTGTGACTGTGTGCCTCTGTGACACTGTGTGTGCATCACACTCTGCTTGTGTGTGACTGTAAGCCTGTGTGTGTGATTTTTTTGCACAGGGCACCTAAAGGCCAAGGCCGGCCCTGGTTCTATCTATCCCAAAGTGCCCGCATGGACGTCCCCAGTGCTTTCTCCTGTTTTGGAGGAAGCAGTTTATGGACCCCCAAGGCGGGCGGCTGTGAGAACATCAGAGGCAGCAAGGAAGCTGTAATCTGGCTCCCACGCAAGCCATCTACTGATGCTGGCAGCCAGAATATGACGTAATATTCTGGCTCCCTGCATCGGTAGACATACTGCAAGGGAGCAGAGCAGGAGGATTACAGCATAATATTAGTAATTTTTGAGTGTGTGTGTCTGCCAGTCAGGACCGGATTAACATAGGGGCTGATGGAGCTGCACCTCCAGGCCCATGAAATAGGCCAATTTTAAAAAAAGTACAAACCCCATGGCAATTTGACTGTGTTCGTGGGATCTGAGCGCTCAGATCCAAGCTATCTGGGGGTTCTGTTCAGTATGATAGGAATTATGTTTTTTTATGTATTTATACTGTTGTTGTGAATAGAGAGATTTTCTGTACTTGGAAATAGTTGGCTTACCACACCCAGTTAAGCCACTTATGTCACACAGCCTAACTCTGTGGAACTGGTTTGGGCAGGAAAAGCCATGCTTGCAGTGATCACAAAGGACGTCGACCTAACTTTTAAACCAATGGAAGGAATTGCCTGATTTTTGAGTATGTTTGTATTTGGAGTATGCTGATTCTGAAAATGTAAGTTTATGTGAATGTGATGTATACTTTTAAAGTTATGAATATTGTGTAAAACTGTATATTTTCTGCCTGTGATAATTGAGTTAGTCTATTGTGTTGAGATAATTGTATCACAGGCAGAGGGGAGGATTTATGTTGGTATGAATGGGAGTGTTTAGCTGTGTTGTAATGTATTGATTGGTTTGTTCTTCAAAACCCTGTGGGCTGTCCTGTATGTTACATAGTTACATAGCTGAAAAGAGACTTGCGTCCATCAAGTTCAGCCTTCCTCACATTTGTTTTTTGCTGTTGATCCAAAAGAATGCAAAAAACCCAGTTTGAAGCACAATTTTGCAACAAGCTAGGAAAAAAATTCCTTCTTGACCCCAGAATGGCAGTCAGATTTATCCTTGGATCAAGCAGTTATTACCCTACATTGAAAGATTATATCCTTGAATATTTTGTTTTTGCAAGTATGCATCTAGTAGCTGTTTGAACATCTGTATGGACTCTGATAAAACCACTTCTTCAGGCAGAGAATTCCACAGCCTTATTGTTCTTACAGTAAAAAAGCCTTTCCTTTGCCTTAGACGAAATCTTCTTTCTTCCAGTCTAAACGCATGACCTTGTGTCCTATGTAAAGTCCGGTTTGTGAATAGATTTCCACACAATGGTTTGTATTTGCCTCAAATATATTTGTATAATGTTATGTTATCATATCCCCTCTCAGGCGACGTTTTTCTAAACTAAATAGGTTTAAATTTGTTAACCTTTCTTCATAGCTGATATGTTCCATTCATTTTATTAATTTTGTAGCCCGCCTCTGCACTTTTTCTAGTGCCATAATATCCTTCTTTAGAACAGGTGCCCAAAATTGCACAGCATATTCAATATGTGGTTTTACCAGTGATTTATAAAGAGGCAAAATTATATTCTCGTCCCGAGAATGAATGCCCTTTTTCATGTATGTGTAAGACCTCCATAATAGAAAGCCCTTTGGTGCCAATTAAAGAGAACTGCTTGACCCTTTCTTGAAGCCTTTGCTCATGCTTGGGGGGTGGGATAACTACACTCTGGGGATTGCTATAATCACATACTCCCCAGAGTCAGCTCTTGCAAGAGTTTGTTTTGTTCCTGGTTCCTGCTCTCTGGATTTAGGAGAGGTTCACTCACTGGAAGCTGGATCCTGGCCTTGGATCCAGGGTGGGTGAGAGACGGCGAGACCCCGGCGCAGCTGCATTGCCAGAAGTCGGGTCTGCAGTGCTGATGGTGTCGGTTGGAGTGCTTGGAGTCCTCGGCAAGCGGTAGGAGCATCGACTGGCGGAGGTACTCTGTCGGAGTGCCAGCGTTCCGTCACACCATGTCTCTGTGTCCCTAGTGTCTTAGTGTCGCCAAATGTCTCAGTGTCCCCATGTCTCCCAGTGTCTGTGTCTGCTTGTCTCTGTGTCCCTAGTGTCTGTGTCCCCCTTTCTCCCAGTGTCTCTATGTCTGGATCCACAAGTGCCCCCATGTTTCCCAGTGTCCCCAAGTGTCTTAGTGTCCCTGGATCTCTGTGTTCCCATGTCTCACTGTGTCCCCATGTTTCTCAGTGTCTCCTAGTATCCTAGTGACACGGGACACACTGAGACATGAGGACACTGGGGGAAATGGGGACACTGAGACACTGGGAGACTAAGGAACTGGGCGACATGGGGACACTGACACTGTGATACATAGGGACACTGATACCAGGCTGGCCTTCCAATTCTTTGGACAGACATGCCCCCTTTTTGGGCATGTTTGCCCTTTTGGCTGTTCTGGTCACGTGATTCGCATCAGTGGCCCACCCTTTTTACCCTGCCCATTGACTTCCTGCTTCACTGGACACTGCTGTTAGGGGGTATGGATTTACTTGAAAGATGAAAGCATAAATTAGAGAGAGATTAGCATAGAGTATGTGTTTTCTTATAGCTGCATCCTTTGAGTTTCCCTCCAACACAATCTCCATCAGATACATGACGCTTGAGAGGTATGACTGTTTTAGTGTTTTTGGTCGATAAGATTCTGTAATAAGGCTCCATCATAATTGTCAACACCAGGCCCACTGTGCTCTTATTCTGGCCCTGCTGCCAGTAAGTGTGTGTATGTCTGTCAGTGAATTTGTATGTGTCTGTGAGTGACTGTCACATCAGTGAGAGTCTGTGTTTGTCATTGAGTGCTTTTGGGTCTATCAGTGAATGTGTGTGTGTCAGTGAGAGTCTGTCTGTCAGTGACGTCTCTGTGTTTGTCATTGAATGTGTGTGTAACTGTCAGTGTGTACCTGACAGTAGGTGTGTCTGTCAGTGAGTGTGTGTATGTCCGTGCGTGTGTGTATGTCAGTGAGTGCATGTGTCTCTGAGTGTGTTATTTTCAGTGTGTGTCTGTCAGTGAATGTGTGTGCTAGTTAAACAGTGTGTGAGACAATGACTGTCAGTGGGTTTTGTATCAGTGAGGGCAATTTGTCTTTTAGTCTGCCCCCCACACTGTCACCTTTCAACACAGTGCCCCCCCCACAATGTCACTTTCCTACACACTGCACCCCATACTGTCACCTTCCTACACACTTCCCTGCTATACTGTCATCTTCCTACACACTGCCCCGCTATACTGACACCTTCCTACACACTATCCCTCCCCTTCTAGCCAACATGTAAGAGGCAGGGAAGGGGGTTAAGCCCAATTTAATTTAAACGGCTCACCCCCAGCACCTATCCAACACTACATGCACTACACAGACATACTACATGCACAGAAACTGAATCCACTAGACACACTGCATCCACCACACAAACACGATTTACACTACACAAACACAGGTACTGCATCCACTAAACACACACACACACACACAATGTATTCAATACACACACTGCATACAATACAAATGACATCCACAACATGGAAGAAGAGGGGTGAAAAGACATGAAAGGGAGGGGAACAGAGACATGGATGGTAGGGGGGCAAAAAAGATTCAAAAATCCATGGGGTAGATGCAAGCTGAATGGACAGTGCGGCTACATCTAAGGTGTGACGCATTACCTACTTGGCTGAGACTGCAGTTTGCAGAGGGATTAAGGGAGCGTGTGTGTGTATAAATACACACACACAAATACATACATGGTTTATAACTGCCCCCCTACTTTTGTCCCTGGCCTACCATGTGCCCCCCCTAAAAAATGAATACTAGAGACACCTGCTCTCACTATCTCCCAGCATCCGACATTAAAGGGGCCTGATCCGATATTACAGGGGCCTGTTTTGTTAATATGTGATGAACTGAAAAGGGCCTCATTGTAATTCAATGGAGAATTAATGTTTCAATATTAAATGACAATATAAAGAAAAAGGAAAATCTGGGTGCTAAACAAGTATCAGGTGTAAACAATTGCTTCACACTCTGGTGTAATCCCCAAATCCACCAATAAGGAATAGTGTGTAGTAATGAGTGGAGCAAAGTGAAACACAACTTAAAAACAGTAGAGAAAATTATATACAAACTCCTTGAATGTTAGATGGTTCTTCAATCAATGATTGGAAGAACCATCTAACATTCAAGGAGTTTGTATACAATTTTCTCTACTGTTTTTAAGTTGTGTTTCACTTTGCTCCACTCATTACTACACATTAAATGACAATATGTATTCAATTTCTATAATGTAACCATTATTGTGGAAATTATATAAGTCCTAACAGTAAATAGTAGACATGTGCAATTCGTTTCGGGCTGAATATGTATTCGGACGAATTTCGGGCAATTTGGACATTTGGGTACTTCCGAATGTCCGAATAGTCGAAGTGCCGAATTACCGAAGTGCCAAAGTTGACGAAGTTCCGAAGCACAGTTTTGCTTATGTACTAATATACTTACCCAGTGGAAGAAGAAGAATGTTACACTGTATACAATTTTAAATAAAAAGTATACAAACATAGCCAGGATTCAGCTGTAAGCATTTGCAACACTTACAACAATCAAGTAACATACATTCATATAAAATGTAAGTTACTTGGCCAGTCAATGTAATGACAGGAATGAATAAGTAGATAACTCCCTAATTCCAACGGTATTAGGGAGCTATCTACCAAAAGACTGAAAGACCTAAACTGGTCTTTCAGCCAAATTTACTAATACTAAGTAAAGATTACTTAGTATTAGTAAATTATGCCCCTACTCGCTATACCGCAAGTAGGGGCATGTCTATTAAACAGTGCTCACTGTAAAAAAAAAAAAAAAACATCCCCCCTCCCCATTCTAACCTGAAGGGGGACCTATTGCCCCCCCTGGCCCCCACCCCTGAACGGTGGGTGGTGGCCCTAAAGTAAAATAAGGGGGGACCTATTGTCCTCCCCCAGCCCCCACCCCTAAGCAGCGGGTGTGGGCCATAATCAGAATAGGGACCTAATGGGCCCCCACTGTTGAGCGGTGCGTGGGGCCCTAAATACTAATTGGGGGGGGACCTAATGTCCTCCCCCTGGCCCCCACCCCTGAGCGGTGGGTGGGGGCCCTAAATACTAATTGGGGGGGGACCTAATGTCCTCCCCCTGGCCCCCACCCCTGAGCGGTGGGTGGGGGCCCTAAATACTAATTGGGGTGGGGGACCTTATGTCCTCTCCCCTGGCCCTCACCCCTCAGCGGTGGGTGGGGGCCCTAAATTAGAATGAGGGGGGGAGGACATTAGGTCCCCCCCTAATTAGTATTTAGGGCCCCCACCCACTGCTCAGGGGTGGGGGTCAGGGGTGGAGTACATGAGGTACTCCCCCCTCATTCTAATTTAGGGCCCCCACCCACCGCTAAGGGCTGGGGGCCAGGACATTAGGCCCCCCCCCTAATTAGTATTTAGGGCCCCCACCCACCTCTCAGGTGTGGGGGCCAGGGGGAGGACATTAGGTCCCCCCATGCTAATTTAGGGCCCCCACCCACCGCTCAGGGGTGCGGGCCAGAGGGGAGGACATTAGGCCCCCCCTAATTAGTATTTAGGGCCCCCACCCACCACTCAGGGGTGGGGGCCAGGGGGAGGACATTAGGTCCCCCCCCCCTCATGCTAATTTAAGCTCAGCTCAGGAGGGGGGACCCTTTTTTTTTTTTTTCAAGGTCTTTCAGCCTTTTGGTACCGTGGGAATTAAGGAGTTATCTACCAAGCGGCTGCAAGAGTAGTTCTGAAATTCCGAAGTTGCCGAGGTTCCGAAGTGTCGAAGTGCCAAAGTGAAATATTTTCCCATGCACATGCCTAGTAAATAGACATTAATTTGACATGGAAGAGCAGCATCAACTTACTTCTAGTGTATTCACAAGGCCTTGGGATAATTTCACTATGTTGTTTTTTTCTGGTTCTTTCCTATGGATCTCATCCACCAGCCTCTGCAATGAAACAAACGAGGCTACAAATGAACAACTCTGTGATATACAAAAACTGCAAAGGTCTTTATCAATAAAAGCACATGCTGTAGTCATATTATGGAGCAAAATTCAATGAAGAAAAAAAAATTACAGATATGACATATCCAGCTAGTTTAACTATGCGCCGATATTTCATACTTTAGAAAATAGAGCCCAAGTCCATCAGCCTATACTTCTCAAAAGTCAGTGAAAAGAGGCTGCGTTAAGGAACTTTTCAGTTTACTTCATTGGAGTGAACAATTCCATCAGAATTCCACACTCCAGATTAAATTGTTATAGTATACAGAAAGGCCGAATTTTTTTTGTTCTTGAATGTAGTCCCTTACACACATCTTCCATACGTGATTTGCTCACCTTTTGGGACTGGAGTTTATAATTGACCTGGCTTGGACTATCCGATGAGTTCACTTGATTCCTTGGGAGACTTTTAAGCCAGGTGTCCAAGCCCTCGCTGGAGGATTTAAATTGCTGGTACGGCAAATTGGCATCTCTCAAAATCTTCTCTCTGGCAATAGATTAAGATGTAATGTCACTTACCTTACAGTACCACTCAATGAATACAAATGATAATATTTCTTTAATCATTGTCTAGACAACAGTGTCCTCTGTTCCTTTCATATTAAATTCTGTCTAAATTCTGTATAATTACCAATGTTCTGCTTTCATAACTTCTGGACAAGAGCACTACATAAAAACTGTTAAATATTCATATAGAGTTTTACATCACATTGACTTGGCTGCTTTTTACCAACATCGTGAGGAATATTAAAGGGCTTCTCCTAGCACCATGACCAGTTCAGTGATTTGATGAAGTCATGGTTCCTGGAGTCTGTATGTGCTGCATTTTGCTTTGTAACACTGCACGTGCTTTGATTAACCCCTCTGCTGCCGGAGGCATAACTCCACCTCCAGCAGCATCGCAGGGCTGTTCTCAGCCAGCCTAGAACTAGAATTCACTGCCAGCTAATGTAAATTCTGTGCAATGTCTATTGCACAGAATGACAGTCATTGGCTGAAGGCAGTCAGCTGACACCCTCAGACAATGAATGTCGACCACCATGGCTTCTGCATATGCTAGATGCATGTCACTGGACCACCAGTGAGCATCAAAGCCCAGCGGAGAGCCAGGTAAAGGGGCAAATGGAGAAAACCAGGCCAGGGCATTCCTTGCATCATAAACGCTACAGCAGACTGTAATTTTTATGATGCTTGGAGTAACCAATTCAGACAGTTATTCAGCTAATAATAATGTGCCTTAACCTATAGACTGTTGATGAATACCAATGTCAACTATCCAACTAACAATATAATTCCTTACCTTCTGTTTACAAAAAAAAAACAACACGTTTTACTGTTTACACCAAACTATGTCAGTAATAACTAAGGTTTTAATTATAATTGGCATTACTTCCACTGTTTACATTAGACTTTTTTTGTTCAGCCATATCTCACCTCTGATCAAGCTGGTCAGCAATAGCATGGTAGCGATCATTTAATCTTTGGACTTCTGCTCGTTGGCGGGGGAGGTCGGGGCTGTGCTCTTGCGTGTTGCTTTGTAACGCGCTGCATGCTAGCTCTGTGTCTTTTAAACTCCGATTCAGCTTCAAGAGATTGTCTTGTTTGCTCACAAGTTCTCGCTTAGTTTTCTATGTGATGAAGACAGATGGATGTAAAAATTTAAAATTAAAAGACTCTGTGAGCAAACCAATAACATACACGGCTCATCGGCACCAAGCGTCTATTTTTGTTATCATTAGAGTCAAAATACCAGCTATAACCTTGATTTTATATTTTTCATAACTGAAATATTTTTTTATATTTTGGAAAAAGTCATTTTAAAAATGTATCCAAAAATAATAAATCATTTGAAAAGCGTATCCAAAAAAAAATGAAAAATCAATATGTTTGCATATTCTTCTCCACTAGATCTGTACCAGCAGTCCTTAGCAAATACTTTTCAATTATTATTATTTATATAGCACCAACAAATTCTGCAGCACTGTACAATGGGGGGACTAACAAACACATAATTGTAACCAGACGAGTCGGACGCGCAGGAACAGAGGGGATGATGGCCTTGCTCAATTTTTATAAATTATTTGAATCACTCCAGTATACCACAAATACCAGTTACTCATACATGTCATTGTATGTCATATTACCAGCCGTCACTTCCTCCCAGCAGCACTTGTGGTGTAGCCGCAATTTGTTTTAAAGGGGCCCGGTCGCGCAATTACACGGCCGCAGTGCTGACCAGGCCCCTGAAAATATAGGGCTCATCGGATGGCCCTAAATGCTTGGGCCACCCAATGGGCCCCAGTGCAGATGCACCTGCGGCAGTTTCGCCGCTCCACGTGGGGCCCAGGTGGCCGGGCCCCCCAGGGCCGCCGGGCCCGTGACAACTGTTATGGTTGTCACCCCCTGATTGCGACCCAGACTTCCTACCCCCATATTCTTAAAGGGACACTATAGTCACCAAAACAACTTTAGCTTAAAGATGCAGTTTTAGTATATCATGATCCTGCAGTCTCACTGCTTACATCTCTGCAATTTAGGAGTTAAATCCCTTTTGTTTCTGTCCATGCAGCCCTAGTCACATCTCCCCTGGCTGTGACTCACATACCATGCATGAAATAGAAATGTAACTTTCAATTAGATGTAACCTACTTTAAAAGTTCTTATTGCCTGCTCTCTAAAGTGAGCTTTAATCATACACAGAATGCTTCTGTGGGGTCTAGCAAGCTATCGATAGTGCAGGGGATAATACATTTTAAATTAAATAGAATTTGCAATGAAGGAAGTGTAAACATTAGCTGACTCTTTACAGGAAGTGCCGTGCAAGTCACATGCAGGGAGGTGTGACTAGGGTGCATAAATAAAGTGATTTAACTCCTAAATGGCAGATGATTTAGCAGTGACAATGCAGGGAAATGATCTATACTCCAAAACTGCTTCAATAAGCTAAAATTGTTTTGGTGACTATAGTGTCCCTTTAATTCTTCTATAAAAGGTTAATGTATTTTTACCAAATGATCTAACTTTTTAACTATATACAGTGCATTGTGTGCATGAGGATACTTGGCCTCAATGTGCATGCAACTGTGTCTACTCTACTTAAGTCCTCTGCATTTCTGTGTCTGGTGAGCACCATCCTTTATGACAAGATTTAGTCGGTTTCCCCATTAAAAAGAAAAAAGGAAAATCACTAAATATAAAACCATAAGGGGTGTGTGCTGACTGGTTATAGAACCAATGATCCTAGAGCAAGTTTTTCAGCTAATATACTTTCTGTATTCTTAAATTGCTTAAAATGATGACTAAGGACTATAAGACTAGCTTCCTGGAAGGTCAAAATTATTAAAATGGCTTTATTACTTAATTTTGACCTTTCAATTATTTAGAAGATAGTTCCCTCTCTAATTTGGTATACTTATGTGGGATTTCCAAAATGAGTGACTTATCTTCTAAACAAGTGAAATAACTCATTTTTAAAAAGGGTTTTTTTCTTAAAGGGACACTATAGTCATTAGAACCACTACAGCTTAATACAGTGGTTTTGGTGTCTATATCATGCCTCTGCAGGCTCAACAATGTAAACACTTCCTTTTCAGAGAAATGGCAGTGTTTACATTGCTGCCAAGTAAAACCTGTAGATTCAGTCACTCAGACGGCCACTAGAGGTGCATCCTATTTCAGTGCTGCACTATGTCCAGCACCTACGTTCTGCATGGAGACGCTGAACGCTCCACATAGAGTTGTACTGATTCAATGCGGCGCATGTGCAATAGCCTCCCAATGCTGCCAAAGCATTGGATTGGCTGTATTTGACAAGATTGATAATCTGAGCCACGGAGGCGGGGCCAGCTATGGTGAGTTTAAAAAAACTGTTTAAATCCCATTCTGACAGCTGCCGGACATCTAAACTGCAACCCCAACATTATAGTGTTAGGAATACATGTTTTTATTCCTAACATTATAGTGCTCCTATAATTTCCACCTTTAATCTGTTTAGTAGATAGCTGCCTAATTTGGTATCCTTAAGTGGGATTGCCCTTAAAGGATCAGTTTGGGCACCATAAATTATGATTAAAAAAAAGTTGTTATGATGCCAGAATGTCCCTGGTTCTGGCTCACCATTACATTCGTTTTCAACCCAGTTTTATGAATGTGGAGTCACTGAGTTGCAGCACCCCTGCATGATGCTGCCTAGGTCTTCCGGTGTGAAGAATTTGAGCAATCGGTAGGACAGATTGGCAGAGAGGTTTGGCGATAGAACATAGATGGTGGGGTTAAACAGTTTTAGAACAATTTAACCACTAAAGGTGAGCAAGCATTAGAGACTTCCTGGCACCATAACACCTTAATTTTGAAGTTGTTACAGCGCCTCGTGTGTTCCGTTAAATATTGCAATCCCACGGAAAGATACAAAATTAGGGAGCTATCTACTACACAACTGAAAGGTCAAAATTAAGAAAACAAATGCCCTTTTCGAGATTTTGCTTTTTTAATTGCATAATAGATAAGTCCTAATTTGCTATCCTTATGAAAAAAAATGGATCAGAAAATTTTTGTTTTAATTCATACCGAATTTGTTTTTGGTTTGTGGGAATTCTTAAACTCAGACGCTTCTGAATTTCCAAATTCATCCAAAATTCGACTTGGAACTCAACTAATTGCACTTGTTTGTTCATTACAGAGTTCTACATTGCTCATGGCTCTTACCTGGATCTCAGTGACTTTGTCCTGCAGGGCACTGGGAGAATATGGAATAACGCCATCATTCACCAGCCTTCCTTCAAATCCACTGATCATTTCATTTGTCTTCGTGATCTGATTCTCCAGGTTTAGGGATGCCTTAGCTCTGTAGAAGAAAAAAAAAATCATCTTTAAATGGAGTGTGATGGATAATAAGGCCACCTTGAATGTGAAGTTGACAATGTAGATGCACAAGATGTACACACATATCATGGTTGAAAATCATAATTTCCTTACCCTGGGTTATTGCCAGAGTGACAGAACATTCTGAAGCAGTGATCATTATTCCCTATTAATTATCTCTAGATTGTAAACTCGTTTGAGCAGGGTCCTCTTCAACCCATTTTTCCTGTAACATTTTGTAGTTGTCTCATTTATGTTTAAATTACCCCCTTTATGATATTGTAAAGCGCTGTGGAAAAATATATAAATGCCAATAATTATAATAATATCAATAATTTGGCTGATTGTAGGTCGTATTAACTGTAGTTCATAGTTAAGAGGGCTGTTGCTTTAATACAGTATACGATTTAAATTTGGTCCTTGGACACACCCAACAGTGAAGGATCTACTTATAAAATCTCATAAACAAAGTATGCCTATTATGAGCAGAAAGGCATCTTCTGAAAGTTGAAATCATCTAAGAAGTTTTACAGGGTTCATTTGACGAGACCGTTATAAAGCCCAATGGACCAGATTTAGTTGGTTTCCCAATTGAAACAAAAATTTAAAATCACTAAATATAGAACCAATAAGGGGTGTGTGCTGACTGGTTATAGAACCAATGATCCTATGGCAAGATTGTCAGCTCATATCATATTAACTACAACTTTCTGTATTCTTAAATTGCTTAAAATGATGAGTGAGGACCATAAAACTAGTTTGAGTCAACAGACTACCAGCTTCATTCTAGAAACAGCAAACATAACACAAAGCTCTTCTTGTCCTCTTACGTACTCTTCTCCATAGAAGGATGTCAAAGCCTTGACGTCGTTGTATTTGTTGTTGACTTTTGTCAGGGAACTTGGGAGCTGAGAGGCTACCGGGCCCAATGGCTTCTTGGACAGGAAGCTTTCACATTCTTTCTGAACTGTATCTTTATCGGATGCAATACCCTGCAGCTTCCGAGCAGTTGCCTAAGAAAAAAAAATTTACTTGAGATTACAATGACAAACTCTATGATAATTCTGAAATGTCATTTTATGGCTGACAACCAATTAAAAATATATACAGTTTTGGGGTCATGTGTATATAAATTTCAATTTTTTTCGTTAATAGATTTGTCTTTCAAAAATTATCAAAGTATACCAGTCCCGCAAGAAAGTCATTCAAAATGTACAGGGTTTGCACATGAATAAAAAGAGCAATACAGCATGGTAGATGTACTACCCTAACATCCCGAGAGCTACCAGTAGCTACCCCTGAAAAGTCTCAGACACAAAAATACAATTTCTTGATATTAACCCCAACATTCTTACTTCCCACACTCTACTTCCTTTAAACCCTATTTGAATATCTCACCTCTTGGTCTTTCAGCCTCCCAGTAATGTCCTGACTAGGCGAAGACCGGCTGACAGGTGAACGCAACCTTGACAGTACATCCTGTTCAGTATCTTGTAGGTCTCCATAGATCTTGTCCAATTTTTTGAGAATCTGTTCACTTTGAGGGTCTTCAGTGGGTACGCTAGATGTCCTTGCTGGAGGTATCGGAGGAGCGTTAACAGGAGCTGTACGGACATTGCGAATAAATGAGCTCTCAGATATAGCTCAAGTAAGGATCGTAAATGTAAGCAAACCTGAACTTAACACCATCTGCCATGTGGTAATATGCTGCTAGCCTACCATTACACAAAATGTTCCACTTTCCCATTATTTCAGCACCATACCATCTTCTCCTATATTGCAAGTGATTTTTGCCATTATATTGGTCCCTTTATTGAATTTCTTTAACATAGACCTAGGTTTGTGTTTTAATAAAAAAGGAATTCACAGAATTGCTCTCATATCTTACCCATCTGGTTGGGTCTAGTAGGCTCGCGAGTGCTAGATTTTAGGGTATTTTGCACTGCTGCTGTTTTCTTCTTTACATCACTCAGATCTCCTTCCAACCTGAACATTAAAAATATTAGACATCATAATCCAAAACTCACATAGAATACAGAGAGGAATAACATCCCCCAATTAGCAGAGTAAATACGTCAATCTCATCTGTCCTCTTCCATAAACACTTACCTCTTCAACCTATCAATCGACTCCAAGTCTGGGGGTGGAATCACGAAGCAGGTGGCTGGGGCATTTATAGTCTTTCCGTCAGGACTCTGCACAACCCAGCTTTCTTTCTTACTGTTGTCTTTTAGAGTGTAGGTTTCCCCTTTCGTAAGCTGGACCTGTTGGGAGTACTTGTTGGTTATTTTGAGGATGGTTGCCACAACTTTATTGACAACAAGTTGAGATTAGATTACCAGTGTCAGGAGGTGAGGAACTACCGCATTTCAAGGTTTATATTGATGACCAACAACAGGTATTACTGGAGAGCATATGCATTTTTTGTGCTAAATATTATTTATTCTACCTGTGCAACAGACATGTTTCATTTCCTAAAATAAAGCCGTTGGTTATAACATTATAGGATCATCTTTTTAAACCAAGCTCTCTTAGGAAATGCATTGCTTGCTTGTCCAGCTAACAAAGGCCTTCATTTATTATTCTTAGATAAGCTATTAAAAGGATTTAATATTAAAAAAAATATTTTAATTTTGTATTTTTTGATATATTGATATGTTGATCATATATGATATATTTTTTGATATTTTAACTTTTTTTAAATAAATCATTCTAAATGTTTATCCAAAAATATTATATCATTTGGAAAGCTTATTCAACAATATTAAATCAAGGCCAAAGGGTCTAAGTGTGCACTTATTAGAATGTATATGTCATTCATTTAGTCTTTGAAGTGAAACTAGTAACTTGTCACATCATTTCATGAACTTACATCTCCCGAGTCCCAGTCACATATTGTGTCCACCTGCATAGGTTGTTTTGGCCTGATCCTTCTTTGTTTAATAGGCACAATCTCTGGGCTCTTCTGTTTGAGGCCAGCTAAAGTCTTCTCAGCCTGTATGAGCTGTTTCTCATCCTTGCCTAACTGTAGCTGGAGCTCAGTTGGGCTGCTAAGGTTGGGTTGACTGTATTTGGTTTCAAGATTGTGGTTGGTGTTTTTTATGATCTCGGATACAGAATCAGCTTCATCCTGGAACTGTTGAGAGGGTAACGGATTATTGTCTGTATTCATTTATTGCTCCTTCACATTTCACAAAAATAATTTTCACTTTGATTGGCCGTCACATTTCACAACTTGTCATCCTCATACAATCACTCTGCTCATTGTCAGGCTTTACATTTCCACACAAACAATCACTCAGAGATTCTGGTCAAACCACAGATTGATCATCATAATTTGTAAAATCATATTAAACTGCTGATAGCCTGTTACTTGTTATTGTACTATCGCATATCAATAAACAAAAAGTTCCACCATGGTAATTTAAAGGGCATTGTGTAGTGCTCACTTTAAGCACTGCCACTCATCTGTCAGCATGGGGCTACTAATTCTGGCCCCAGCTTATAGAGGGGAGCCCCCAGGTATCGAGTGATAGCTGGTGTACTGTACTCCAGTACCAGCAAGTAAACCGTTCCTACTGGTAAAAATTCAGCCTTATGGAATTATTCACGGATACACAGAGGGTAAGCCTCAGGTAGCACTCAGCCTATGTAGGTAAGCAGAGGGTCTCGGTTGCTTCCACAGAACCTTGTTGAGGCTGGGGGTGCCTTACTGTCTCCGACCGAGGGTGCCTTACTGTCTCCGGCCGCACGCTTCCATGGTGTTCCTGTCAGAGAGTAGGTTTGTTGGTTGTATCTTGGTTTTACAGTGTTAACCAGAAGCTCTGAATAAGCTCATCAAGCTGCGACAAGAGGTACACAGTGGAGCTGTGGTTAGCCCTCTGGGTTGAGTGCATGCCATGTGAGGTTGCAAGAGGGGTGTCTGCCATTTTTGAGTTCCGAAAAGCGGTCTGGTGGCAACTCTGAGTATGCGGTAAGTATGCGTAAGACAGCTTAAAACTTTCCAGAGGGGACCGTGTTATCCATCAGAGGGAGGGGGGGTTTGGGGTGCAGCGGGTCTAGTCATGAACTGGAGGGCGAGGAGATCGATCGCTTCTCCCTTGCTTTGTCCCCAGGCCACAGCAGAATTTCTCCGGCTCCCGGTGCTGTAAACTCTCGGGAGAGGTGTCATACAGCTTGCCCGGGAATCCCTGACCTGAGATGTGTACAGAATATAACATGGTAGCAAGCTGGCCGGGTAAAACACCTGAAATTCAGCCAAATATGAGGGAGCTCAAGCGCCTCACGTCTGGTCAGCTTGAAGGTTAGGCTCTGCCCCCCATCATGTGGTACTTTTAATATTTTACGGTTACTGGCGGCCAGGAATAGGAGGAGGGATACCTTCCACCTTGCCCTAGTACCATCTAATACAAATCTGCTCACTAACAGACATTAAAACATACAGTCCAGTACACTAGACTTGTGCACAGTAGAGAAATTCGGCAAATTCACTTAGTCTCAAAATATAAAATTTAGTTTGGATAGCCGTTCATGTGGTCTGACTATTGTCTATACGAATAATTCAGATGAACAAAATTGAGCGAAAATTGGCAAATCAGTGTACTGCAATGTATACACATAATATAAATATTATGTATATATTTTGCAGTACACTCATATGTAAACCCAGTGGCGCACAAATGCACCTAACAAGTGGGGGAAAAGTAACCAATAGAGGGGGAAAAAAGGAGGAGAAATAATAAAAAAAAAAATCTCTATATATTATATACACTGATCAGCCACAACAATAAAAACCCCTGACTGGTGAAGTGAATAACATTGATTATATAGTTACAATGGCACCTGTCAATGGGTGGGATATATTAGACAACAAGTGAACAGTCAGTTCTTGAATTTCAAGGGTTGGAAGCAGGCAAAATGGCCAAGTAAAAACATCTGAGTGACTTTGAGATGAGCCAAATAGTGATGGCTAGATAACTGGGTCTGAGCATCTCCAAAACGGCAAGTCTTGTTGGGTGTTCCTGATATACATTGTTTAGTACCTACCAAACGTGGTGCAAGGAAGGACAACCAGTGAACCGGCGTCAGTGTCATGGGCACCCAAGGCTCATTGATGCACGTGGGGAGCGAAGGCTAGCCCATCTGATCCAATCACACAGAAGTTCTACTGCAGCTCAAATTGATGAAAAGCTTAACCCCTTAAGGACACATGACATGTGTGACATGTCATGATTCCCTTTTATTCCAGAAGTTTGGTCCTTAAAGGGTTAAAGAGACACTATAGTCACCAGAACAACTACAGCTTATTGAATTTGTTCTGGTGAGTAGAATCATTCCCTTCAGGCTTTTTGCAATAAACACTGTCTTTTCAGAGAAAATGCAGTGTTTACATTACAGGCTAGGGATACCTCCACTGGACACTCCTCAGATGGCCACTAGAGGTGCTACCTTGGTCAGTGCTGCACAGCCATTCAGTGTATCCACCCTCTGCATGGAGACACTGAACCTTCCTCAGAGAGATGCATTGATTCAATACATCTGTATGAGGAGATGCTGATTGGCCAGGCTGGGTATGGTTTGTGCTGGCTCTGCCCCTGATCGGCCTCCTTGACAGTTTCAGACAGTCCAATGCTTTCTTATGGAAAAGCATTGTGATTGGCTCAGATCATAACTTTAGATGATGTCAGCCAAGCAGACAGATCAGGTAAGAGCCAGCAGCAGCAGACTGGAATAAAACTAAGGTTTTACTATATTTAATGGGGGGGTCAGGCAAAGGGGATAGATTGTGTTTTTAACACTATAATGTCCCTATATTGTTCCTTTAATGCTGGTCATGATAGAATACTCACAGAACACATAGAACATTGCATGTTGCTGCATGTGGGGCTGACTAGCTGCAGACTGGTCAGCGTGCACATGATGACCCGTGTCCACCACCGAAAGAGCCTTCAATGGGGACGTGAAAAATAGAAGAAAGTTGCCTGGTTTGATGAATCATGTGTTCTTTTAGATCAGGTGGATCGTCGGGTGTGTGTGTTCATTAACTGGGGAAGAGATGGCAGCAGAATGCATTATGGGAAGTAGGCAGGCCGACGGAGGCAGTGTTATGCTCTGGGTAGTATCCTGCTAAGAAACCTTGGGTGTTGGCATTCATGCGAATGTTACTTTGACAAGTACCTAGAGATTGCTGCCGACCATGTACACCTCTTCATGGCAATGGTGTTCCCTGATGGCAGTGTCCTGTTTCAGCAAGATAATGCACACTGCAAATATTGTTCAGGGATAGTTTGAGGAACATGACATAGAGTTCAAGGTGTTGTCAAGGCTTACAAATTCCCCAGATCTCAATCAGATTGAGTATCTGTGGGTTGAGCTGGAACAACAAATCTGATCCATGGAGGCTCTACCTCGCATCCAAAGCATTTTCAAGTTTTCCAACAAATTGAGGGAAGGAATCCTTCTTGACTCCAGAATAACAGTAAAATGAGAAACACATTTATTAAAGGACCACTCTAGGCACCCAGACCATTTCAGCTTAATGAAGTGGTCTGGGTGCCAGGTCCCTCTAGGATTAACCCTTTTTTTTATAAACATAGCAGTTTCAGAGAAACTGCTATGTTTATAAATGGGTTAAGCCAGCCTCTAAAGTCTCTAGTGGCTGTCTCATTGAGAGCCGCTAGAGGCGTTTGCGTGCTTCTCACTGTGAAAATCACAGTGAGAAGACGCCAGCTTCCATAGGAAAGCATTATAAATGCTTTCCTATGAGACTGGCTGAATGCGTGCGCAGCTCCTGCCGTGCATGCGCATTCAAACGAAGAGGAGGATCGGAGGCGGAGAGGAGGAGGAGAGCTTCCCGCCCGGCGCTGCAAAAAAGGTAAGATTTAACCCTTTCCTCTCCCCAGAGCCCGGCGGGAGGGGGACCCTGAGGGTGGGGGCACCCTCAGGGCACTATAGTGGTCCTTTAACTAAATATTACAGCCTTGCATATCCTGGTTCCATCCACATGTTGTTTAAATATCTGTACAGAATCTGTTAAATAACCTCTTCAGGCAGAGTAATTTTTGTTTACATATGTTATATGTTGTATTTGCTATTATTGTGTATTAAAATACCGCATTTACCTGTCACCTTGAATTTTTCCCCCCAAACTATTTATTGACTAATATCCTTACCCCCCATCCCCCCTTTTTTTTTTTAAAGGATCACTATAGTGTCAAGAAAACAAAGCGGCTTTCCTGACACTATAGTGCCGTGAGGGTGCCCCCACCCTCAGGGTCCCCCTTCAGCAGCTTACCTCTCCTCCCCTGCCAACATCAGCTCCCAAGTGGACTAGAGGCTGGATTAACCCCAAATGTTAAGGTTGGATTAACCCCAAATGTAGACATAGCAGTTTCTCTGAAACTGCACTGTTTACATCTGAAGGGTTACAAAACCTGAGGGACCTGGCACCCAGACCACTTCATTGAGCTGAAGTGGTCTGGGAGACTGTAGTGTCCATTTAAACAAACAATACATTGACCAGCCACCTTTAAACTTTTTTACACTTTATTGTGTTCTTTCATTCATTCAGTAGCCTGTAACCCTTCACACCTGGAACATCTGCCTAACCTGTCTGGCCAGTAAGAAAACAGCTTTGTCAATAATAATCACTAATCTGTTAACTTTGTTTGTTTTCTGGCAAATCTGCAGGGACCATCTGACCACTCAGGCACGTCGGTCATGGCCTGAGGCAGACAGGGCCCCGGACACCTCAATGTGCACACACACACACACACGTATGTTCTGAGAGAGACCTGGCAGCAATCCTGCACTTTCTGTTCCAGGTCTACTCTATGATCTCCTCTGTGTGAGAAGAAGAGGCAGGGTCTGAGGGATGGGAAGTGACATCACTTCCTGTGCTCTCCGCATGCAGAGTGCAGAAGATAAGGAGCAGCCTGGAGACTGCACACACATGGTTTAATCCTTTTTAGAAAGTGAAAATGGTGGCTGGTGTAGAGACAGGGTTTGGGGGTGAAAAAGGCAGAAGCACATGTAGGATGTGTGGGTTAGATAGGACTCTTACCCCCCACTACAGCTCCTATACCCCCCAGCACCCATCTAAACACGTGAGCCCCCTCCCACCCCAGCCCCTATGTTCTCCCCTGCACTCTCTACAGTCCTTATGCAACCCTGCATACACAGCAACTCCTATGTTTTCTCTGCACCAATTGAACCCACAGCCCTTTCAGCACCCATTCTCTTCCCTACATCTCCTATGTCTCCCTGTGCCCCCCTGCACCCACTACCAACTTTATGCCCCTATCACTCATTAAAGACCCTATCCCCTCCTACACCCATTACAGACCCTATGCCTCCTGGCCCTATCTCCCCAGCACCCACTACCCAATCCCTCTGTGCACACACTACAGTCCCTATTCCCACTGTACCTTCTACAGCCTCTATACCCACTCACATACAACAGTCCATATCCACATAAACTACAACGCTGACATACTACACTGCAAATAGCACCATTCACACAAGCAAACCCACGAGGAGCCTCACTTTTTGCACACAATCCTATCAGCAGCATCCCCACACATGCAATACAACATGCAGCTTCCCTACACACACATCACAAGCGGCATCCCCACACATTTAATACTGCATCCTTATACACACGCACAGTTATTACAATTATCTATATAGCAGCAATATATTCTGCAGCACTGTACAATAGGCAAAACAAGACAAACTATTAATTCTAACGCAACACGATTGATGTACAGGAACACAAATTGACAGGCAGCATCCCACACACACAACCACACAAGTAGCCTCCAAACAGATGTGTTTGGAGCCTATTTGCAGGCTTGCACATGTGATATCACCAGCTCACGCAGCGGAATTAATATATGTGTTTTATTTCTTTAGTTTAAGGGGAGGAGGCATGCAAGCAAGGGTTACTCCATCCAAAAACAGTGTTTTACTAAAACACAGTTTTTTGTTAGATTAACCCCTTAAAAGTAAATCTCGCCCTATTTGGGGGCCCTGCGGGTGTGGGAGTCATGACTGTGTGGCTTTTCACACAGCCATTCTGGGTGCTGGGCGGCGAACTCATAATATCTGCGTGAACCCCTGCCAACATCTCACCTATATAATAATATTTTTTGCTTCCATTTTAATTCAGTTGTCTTTCTCCTGTCGATATTAGTGGTAGCTCCATGCATAGAAGTATTTGAAGCCCATATTTACTGAGAACCTTTCTCACCTTCTTGTAATCCTCAGCATTCTTTAGATGGTTTTCCTGGCAGATACATAGGTTTAGAAAATTCTGCCACTCTCCTTTCAGAGCCTCATTGTGTGCCTGAAACATAGAGATCATGTGATCACACTTGTTGTTTTCCAATTTATTATGGATTCACACATGTTGTTAACGGGCGTAGCACAAAATTAAATATAATCACATTGTTATTTTCACATACTGTAAAAATGATAAGTATTGACTGATTTATTTGAGACCAGGAAGGTGCAATTTTTAAGCAAAAAAAAAAAGCCTCTAGAAAAATTAAAGATGTGTAATGCTTCCTCTTCATCTGCTTTGCAATGTTCCGATTTGACACAGTTACATTTAGTAAGTGGCATTAGGAAGTGCAACAAACAATAACATGGAATCAGTTTGGGAAATATTGGCCCACACTATAGTCTAGGGGTAGGCGACCTTCGGTACTCCAGGTGTTGTGGACTACATCTCCCATAATGCTCTTACATCCATAATGCTGGTAAAGCATCAGGGGAGATGTAGTCCACAACATCTGGAGAGCGAAGGTTGCCTATCCATACCCTAGTATAGTCAATGAATACGAAAACCTAATAAAGATCAAATAAGTAAATAAGCATACAGCGGAAAGCTACAGGGCTATCTGGCAGACTTATTTTGTATGCAAACACCAATCCTACTGGATTGCACGTAACAATGTTTTTTTGTTTTGTTTTTTATATACCAAGATACAGCTGCTTCCTGGGTGTTTGAGTTCAACCATCCTATCCCCATCATCCAGTAAGTCATTCACTTTTTCCTCCTGGGGTAGCAATTCTTCAGATTTAAATCGCTGGAAAAATAGTAAAAAAAACAACAACAAAAAAAACAAATACAGTCAGATATCTAAGACAGAATTCTAATTTGTCTTCATGCAAAGTCAAGGTGGTTGAGCCTAAAGGGACCCTATAGCTTCATGTAGTTCTAGTATCTATAGCCTGCCCCTGCAGGTTTTTTAATGAAAGCACTGCCTTTTCAGATAAAAGACAGTGTTTACATTTATGCCTAGTTACATCTCTAGTGGCGGTCACTCGGACGGCCACTAGAGGTGCTTCCTGGGTCAGTGCTGAATGTTCATGGGGCTTATTCACAAATCATTGGTAACTAATTGAAGATAGGTTACATTTTGTACCTCCTGGATATAATGGGAATGTAATAACCTAAATAAATATGCTTTAGTTTCAGCTGATTAGTTACAGGCTGAAATCTGATCTACAGAGTCTGAGGCAATATTGGAAAATCTGGCCATTGATAAAAAGTGTGATAATTTAAACGTCAATATTTTATTTAGAAGTTATTGTGGACCTGATCCCTGAATGTCTCTATCATGATAAGTATGTGTGATACACACCCACATCATCATGCCCACTGGTTTATGAGGGAAGACATGTCCCTAATCAACAACCCGTATTGTCTGTGGGTATTTATGTGTGAGTATAGGCTTGGCTAATGTTTGGGCAGAAGGGGCAGGTTAAATAGGACTGTGGTAAGCAGCAAGCAATACTAGAGGCTGACATCAATGAGGGTTCCCAAGGACTAAATATACTGTTTTGTTTTATACTTAGCTTTTGTATAAAATGTCTTAATGGCCCATATGCTACACCTGGGTCATTGGCTCATGTTGCCTCCTCAAATCTCTTTAGTATGAGGAGGGTGATTTTGCACAGGTGCCCCCTGAATGCCCTCTTCACAGTACCTGGAAAATTGTGTATCGTGTAAAGGCTCCCTTGCTACTCACCTCATATTGCCTGCGGGTGCCGGGAAGGTCGGGTATCTGGTCACTCCAGTCCTGTTTTAAGATCCTATTCTGTTCTTCGTTCAGGTAGAGCAGCTCTTTGGTGCAGCCATGGAGGTGGTTATATAGGCTGCTGAGGTACTGACCCCTCCACGTGACAGCCTCCTGTACTCGAGGAAAACACAGACAAATAATCATTATATCTAAAAAAAAAACACTGCAGGACAGACCCAATGCATAAAACAGGGGTAGGCAAACTTTGGCACTCCGAAGATGTCGTAGACTACATTTCCCATATTGCCATTGCAGCCATAATGCTGGCACAGCATCAGGGGAGATGTAGTCCACAACATCTGGAGTGTTTAATTTTGCTTAACCCAGCCTAAAGTATTTTTAGTTTTTCACACTTTGCCATCCTATAGTAGGGATGAGTGCTCTTTGGAACTTAACCTGCTGCGGACTACAGTTCCCTTGATGCTCAGTAACAAGGAGTTAAAAATTCCACAGCATCAGGAGGGTGATGCCAGATATTAGTCATTACAATCTAATGTGGTTTTGGATGGCTATCCTTACATTTGAAATTCGCTCAAAGTGTCAGTCTTTTTTTTCTTCTTTTTTTACATTTGAGAAGTTTATTCAATTTTTAAAATAAGTAGGATACAGCAAAAAAAGGAGATAGTTTAAAATGCCGTCAGTTGAACCGGAAGCATGGCTGACTTGGAGAATGTTTCCATTTTTCCATTTTGTCCCCGATAGAGGAAAAATGTAAACAGAACATACTTATTGCATAAAAGACACTGCATTCTAGCCTAAATAAGGGAATAATTGAGATTAATATCTTAATTGTTATTCTCTAAACTAGGAATTTTCGAGAATTTACAAGAGAATTGTAAGTTTTAAGTAAAGATTTAAGTAAAGATTTTTCCAACCACAGCATATTTTAACTCATGTATTTGTTACATAATCTGCCCGTTATTCCAAAGAGCAGATCATGTACTAAAACAGATGGTGACATTATCCATGCAATTATTCCATGTATTTAACAGATCCTTGGGACCCAAATCTCAGCCATCTCACACATGTCTGAGATCAGATCTGAGATTAGTAGGAGTAACACTCCCAAGTAGCAGCTGTGTCCATTTAAATACTGCTCTTAAAATAAAGTTATATTATATTTGTTATATATTTGATTCAATTACCTTCACATCTTGATACTGGTTCTTAATTCCCTATTAGATAAAACATAAAAGCAGAACAGGTTTTTAGTACATTATTTACTGCTAGAAACAGATCGTCCGCAGAGTTATAAAAAATAATGCTTTTGGCCAACTTTGTTTTTGTAAATAACCCCATGTGTTTTCATACGATGTATACGGCAGTCTGTCTACCTTGCTGATGAAGACGTCTAAATAGTTACAATCCAAACAGGTCTGTACAGCAGGTCTGCCTAAATGTTTGGAGCACAGGTAGCTTCAAAGATGAACACCGTAAAATTTGCCCAGAGCTTTTAGGAAATAACATATACTATTTTTGTATCCCAGATACTTTGGAACACATGTCTCTCCTTCCCAGGTAATTTCTCTTGCGTCCCACATTTAGGGTTCCAGGGAAATGTTCAAATTGAACAGGACAGCTGCAAAACCTTGGTTTAAAGGTATACTTTAGGCACCATATTATATTTTTAGTGTATAGATCATGCCCCTGCAGACTCTGCCACTAAGGAGTTAAATCCCTTTTATTTCTCTTTATGCAGCCTTAGCCAAATCTCCCCTGGGTGAGACTCACATAGCCTGCAATATTAAAAAAAAAAAAAGGTTTAATTTTTAATCAGCTCTTTACAGCATATTGTGTCTATTTTAGAAGCTTTTATCTCCTGCTCTACTAATTGAACTTTAATTACAAAGTAGGCTCTAACACGCAATTAACAGGAGATAAGAAATTTAAAAGTTTCAACATTAGATCTCTCTTTACAGGAAATATGTAGAGACGCTGGGTATATCACATGCAGGGGAGGTGTGACTAAGCTATATAAACAAAGTGATTTAGCTTGTAAATGGGAGAAAATTGAGCAGTGACACTGCAGTGGCATGATCTATACACCAAAACTACTTCATTAAGCTAACGTTATTTGGAGCTTATAGTGTCCCTTTAACCCTAATGTCATCATTAAGGACTCTCAGAACATGCAATGGGTCACCTCAATGGGTTTGATCGAAAGAATGACTGCTTCCCAGCACGTCGTCAAGAGTCCAGCTTCTGACATTCCAAATACTACAGCCACAAATCTTACATGTGTTTCATGTTCACTTGCTAGTGCCCAATACCATCACTCTGAATGTGCCTGAATAGAGACAGGAGCGTGGCAAAGAGCTCACTGCTATTCTTACAAAAAATGTATACAGTAAGTACTACAACCCAGACTGGTAATTAAAATTGCTTTGAGAACATCGGCTAGAAGAGGAAGTCTACAGCATTGCTCAGCTGTGGAGCTTGTGGAGTCATGCACGTGTAAAAATGTGTACATGTCAAAGCTTGAGAATTGGCTTGGTGAAAGAAAATAGTTGCATAGGTGCATTACATACAGTCAGTGAACTACGTGTGTTATGAACTAATCAATATAGTAACAATATTCAAACCCCACTAATAAAAACACTACAAAATAAATATTTGAAAATATATATATTTTTAACGTTTGATATTGAATGATAACCAGTTTTTAAGCTGAGGTTTTGCAAGCATACATAGCTTAGATCCATCAGAGTTATTTTAGCTCCAAGGCCAGCAAGCGTGTTCACGTGTCTCCTTCCAGTTCCAAAATGTATTTACCTTTTTTAACTCTTTAGGTACCAAATATAATTTTCTGTCATCACAACCAGCACCGAAAATAGAATGTGTAATTTTATTTTAATTTGTTCGGGAACTGAATGTTGTGATGGACGCAACTTCAGAAATAAAATGGAATCATGACAGAATATTTCCGTCATGTGTCCTTAAGGGTTTAAAGGGGTACATTTTAAGGCAAGTGCTCCAAAACACAGATTAACACCTCCCTCCCATTGTGTGTTTGTTCTGTTTCATTCTACATAACATGATAGCATTCGAACTATAATAATTACTGCCCAGTGCACAATTAATTACTATTATCATTTATAGATGTTACGTCAGTAAATGCTGCTGTAATTAAATATACTGAGTAAAGGGATTAATAACATAACTTTTATTGGCAGACTCAATACAGTGTTGAAGTGGGTATTGAGAGTCCATCTAATAAGATTACTATCTAAAAGGTTATTGGATGGTTGAGACATAAAGTACAGAGGAGTGAACTAGGGGCATTAAAAGTAACTAGGACATGAAAGCTATAAAGGGATTAGTAATTGTATTTGTTTATATTTTTATTTTCAAAGTGCATCTGCTCAAGGTATTTTTTTATTTAGTCTAATAGACAGAATTGCCTTACCTGGGGTTGGTTACGTATGTCTGTACCATATTCATCAATCTCGTGCTGTAACAGATTATGTTCTGCGATTTGACGCTCCACATCGGCAAGGCTGGGTCCATACTGACCTTCATTTATTTGTTGCTGCAGAGGTTAAAATAAGTAGGAGGTATTAAGTAAATGGAATGTATGGAGTAACAATGTCCTTCCTTTAACGTATCCTTCTTGCAGGTATATTATTTAAGCAAAAGTATCTAAGCTGTATTTGTCTATAAGTATGGGAAGTTGCAAACTTTAGTTCATCAATAATTGGTGAGAAGGACATTGCTTAGCTCTCTATTGTGGGAAGTTTTTTTTTCTTCTGACTTATGTCGCACATGAAGGGGTTTGGAGAGTTATTGCTATGTTTCGAAATAAGAATAACATTCAAGGGACACAGCAAAAAATCATTGCTTAGTAAATATACATCAATGAAAACATGCATGCGTTTAATTATGCATTTTTTCATTGGGGGTTCATATCTAAAACCAACTTGCAAAAGCTGCATATCTCATGTCTGAAGTCTTTGCAAGCCCTCCCCTTCTAACAACGCCCAGACTTTCTGTCGCTGTCCAATCACAGACTTCCCAATGCAGCTCAATGAGAAGTCTTTGCAAGGCAGGTACTCTGGGCTGTTGCTGCCTCTTGTGGAAACCAGGAATTAACAGGACCTGTTGTCTGATTGACAGTCGGGGGGAGGGGGAGGTGTGTAACAATGTTAAATGGACACTATAGTCACCAGAACAACTACAGCTTAATGTAGTTGTTTAGGTGAGTATAATTATTCCCTGCCTGCAGGTTTTTTGCTGTAAAAACTTTCTTTTCATAGAAAAGACACTGTCTGCATTTCCCCCTTGGGACACCTTCATTGGCCACTCATCAGATGGCCACTGGAGGTGCTTCCTGGAGCAGGGCTGCAAAGGGAGCCGCAGTCTGCTTTAAAAAGTGAGTAATTTTTAAAAACATTAAATAAATATTTGGTTACTAACTCTTTAAATAAACAGCCTTATTCAATAACCATATTGCTTTGAAAAGCTTTGATACGCTCAGATCCATACTTATATGTTTCTTAGACAATCCCAAATGTACCTTTTTGCTGTCCAAGATCTGTGGCCAGTTCACTGTGGGCTCTGGAGGGACAAGGTTGAGTTTCTCATACACATCTCTGTATTCAGAACACTCCTGGCTCACTCGTTCATGCAGCTGGCGGATGCTTGAGAAAAATGACAAAAGGAGTCGTAATCATTAGACATAGAATGACTAGAGAACATTCTTTGCCCACCTTGTCTGTACATATAATGACTTCCCATACCATTCACTCACATCTATGTTATTAATCTTTGCTACCCTTTCACCCCTTCCCCAACTCAATCTCACACTCGCTTCCTCCTATCTATAGGGCTTCTCTTTCACCCTACTTCACTTTATATGATCACTAGTTTGGGGATTTCAAAGCCACTCACTCATTTTCTATTTCGCCTGCCTGCGGATGTCCGTATTTCTTTGCTTTGTCCACATCCAAGAATAGATCCTTAAGCAGCATCTCAGAATCCTTCAGACTTCTAGCATTTTCTTGCTGATGCTGAAAAGCATTCTTCATGGCATAATTCCCAGCATCCTACAATCAAATCACAGAGGATTATTAATTGGGTCTTTCTACTGTCCTCCCTGCACTTACAGTACGCTTACCAAGCTAGTCCACACCTCTGGATGTACCCAACACACACAGCCCTGAACTCATCTCTTCAAAGATGAGCCCTCGCCTTCTCCTACACAATTAGAACCTTGCCGTCTTGGTCTACAGATTATTTTCTACAACTCTATGTTTCAGTTGGCTTCGCGTTTGTATTTTATACATTTGTTGATAAAATCAGATATACGTAAAAGAAATGAAATATTAGATATCCATATGAAATATTAAAACGTCTTGCCCTATCACTCATTAAATGGCCAACACATTTTTCTAAGGTATCGTACGAGGTTGCAAGGTAGCTTTAGGATCTACCACCCTAGTAAGAGTTCCTTAGCTGTAAACTGGTTAAAGTTTCCTATAAAGCACATTGACACTTGGCCTAAAATCTCCCAATTGGCAATATTTTAGGTTGCGTAAGTGGTGGGACTAAGGCCTTGGTTTAATAAGCTTTCCAAATGATTCAATACTGTTAGCAAACTTTCCAAATTTTTTATCTTCAAAAATTCCTGTAGATTTTAATGGTACCTTCTGAATTTGAATATTTAAAATTAAATAAATTTGACGTTTTTCCAACAGTATTGACTTACTTGAAAAAAATCAAGGCCCAAGTGTTAGGTCTGTCCCTCTGCTGATTTTCTTCTGCCTTGTTCTGCACATGCAGAATCCTACGTTTTCCCACCCACAAAGCCACTGAACTAATTCAGGCCCAAAGCCACACTTGTACATATTTGACTTCTGTCGTTGAAACTCTAGGCAGGATCCTCACTCATCCTCTGTTGTGTCAATTAGTCTCCGTATAAAATCTTCCTATGAATATCATTTTTTATGTGTTTTGTCTAGCACTTTGGAATTTTTTCAAAAGCAGTATTATTATCACAACTAATTTAATTATAAAAAAAATTAAGCAGATGTGAACGTATTGGAACACTGTATAATGGAAATCGCATGGAGTTTTGAAACAGAGAGTATGTAGTGCCTTGTACACAATACACTGCCTAAAGGCACACTGTAGGCACTGTAACTGCTTTATCTCATTGAAATGGCTATAGTGTCTGGAGTCCACTTGCAACATCCTTCTACTCTCAGACCATCTTTCTGTGCTGCTTGGATTAATGAGGAATCATTAGCCTGAGCAGCAATGGGCAGCTGTGATTGGCTGAGAGAGTCAGCTGGCCACATTCAGCCTATCACAGTGCCCACTGCTGGTATGAACTGGTATGACTGTAATCTCTTAGCTAATGCCTTAGCCATACCTCCGTCAAGGTCAGGTTGTGAACAGGCAGAAATCATTATCTAGTGTTAAATTGCTCAAAAAGGAATTCCGAAACGGAAACTGGTGACTCCAAGCACTGGCACAAACTAAATGAGATGATGTGGATTTAAACAGATATAAGCAGAAAGATGAACATGTAATCTATCCTTACACTGTGATAACGGTGCTGTACTCCTCAGGGCTCTGTGAGGTGGACATGATTGAAAGGAAAATTTGTAAGATTGACAGAAAGTAGGATCCTAAAGCATTAATGTGGTTTTGAGAAATCTGTTGGACAGATCTAGGAAAGTGAGAGCAAAGTAGAGGAAAGTTATATATAACAGCTATGACTGGATGAGAATCTGGAAAGTCTTCAGGACTAAATTAAAGCAGTTTGTTATTTTTTTGGAAGAAATTACAATGTACCTACCTGCTTTAGTTTTTGACTGGTTTCCAGGATATTTCTTTCCACTTGGTCAGCATTTTTTTGCATGCGAGCAATCAACAGAGATAGTTCATTTGCAGTCGCCCTGTGGAAATCCATGGCAGAAGTTACAACAGTGCCATCCAAAAAGTATCCTATACCTTTATTTTAGAATGGTTCCTTTAAGTAACTTTAAACAATTTATGTGGTTCAACATTGAAGAAGCTGCTGCCGTTAAAAAAAAAAGTGACTGATTCTGCCAGATTTAGCCACATTCTGATGTCAAAAAGAACTGTCCAATATTGGATATGGAGAGGGTGTTGCATTTTAGCATTTTAATGTTTTCTTATCCTCTACATTTAATAAATATGTGTTTCTAAAGTCTGAAAACTAAAATTAAGTGTAGAAATCATCATCGCTATATTTACTTCTGTTCAGGAAGTGATTGGCTGCATCTTGGATCCCCGTCACTCCTTTGTATAAGCCTTAAAGGAACACTGTAGGAACTTTAAGAATTTCATCTTATTGAAGTTGTTATAGTGTCTGCAGTCCTGCCCCTCCCTGTTCTACCTGCCAAAACCTTTTTATTTAAATAAATAGAAGGCTTGGACGTGCAGCTTCAAGACACACCTTCAAGCCCTCTGAGAACTGGGAATCGTACTACCCAAGTTCCCAGCTCTCATACCGTAACATACAGCGACGTCATGCGTGCATGCGCAGTACTGTCATGATTGACCATAGAGCTGTGCATGTGCCTTTCTTCTCTAATGCTCCTCTATGAGGAGCATTGGGTTGATCCATTATACTGGGGGCATGCCTCCAGGATGACGCAACCCGAGGAGGAGGTCACGGGAGCGCCAAGGGAGAAGCAAAGGGGGGGACACCTAATTGATAAGGGGCATTAGGGCTGAAGGGCTGTAGCGTTAGGAATACAGATATGTATTCCTAATGCTACAATGTACCTCCAGTTGTAAATTAATATAGTATGTGGAGATAGAGTAGCAAAGACAATGTTTCTTTTTTTTATTCCAATGCATAGTGAGCTCTGGCCATGCCAGGACTGAACTAAACTGAGGTGTCAATTGCTAAATCTTTAATATACATTTAAAAGGAAATGCAGTACCACGTGGGGAAAAAAAAGATAAACCACAAGTTATAGGTTATTTTCTTTGTTTTATTCAATGGTATAGCTTTCAATAAAATGAAGGCATCACCCTTTAAACTGCTCCACTAAGAACTGGAAGCCAATATGTCTGTATATTCAGATTTCAGGTCCATACAGAAGACTTAAAGGACCACTCTAGGCACCCAGACCACTTCAGCTTAATGAAGTGGTCTGGGTGCCAGGTCCAGCTAGGTTTAACACTTTTTTCTATAAACATAGCAGTTTCAGAGAAATGTTTATAATAAGGTTAATCCGGCCTCTAGTGGCTGTCTCATTGACAGCCGCTAGAGGCGCTTCCGCGCTTCTCACTGTGATTTTCACAGTGAGAAGACGCCAGCGTCCATAGGAAAGCATTGTGAATGTTTTCCTATGGACTGGCTGAATGCGGGCACGGCTCATGCCGCGCATGCGCATTCAGCCGGGGAGGAGGAGGAGGAGAGTTCCCCGCCTGGCGCTGGAGAAAGAGGTAAGTTTAACCCCTTCCTCCCCCTAGAGCCCGGCGGGAAGGGGAACAAGTATGTTTTTCTGGCACTACAGTGGTCATTTAATGAAAATATCAATAATTTTTGCCTCCTCTGGGCACCATACTAGCTTAGTACAAAACATTTTTCTCCCCATAATTCACCTACTGTTAATAATGTGTATTTCTTAATGTTACAGAATGTGAAGTCTATATTCTCCATAACTATATATGACATTTTGAATTCTCCTCATCCATTCCTCTACCATACAAGTGCAGAATATCTTATGATTTGGAAAAATAAAAACGAAAAAAAACAAAAAAATCTTAAACTCAGCATTTCAGGATATTTTTGGCCTCATTCTCAAAATTCAGCTGACATGTCAAAGCGTCCCTTCTCAGCCAGGTGTTCCATCTGTGTCTGGGGGGTGAATACAGATGGGATGTAATATCCTTCCTCTATATCTATCTATCTATCTATCTATCTTTCTATCTATATACTTATCTATAACCTATCTATTTCTATCTATCTATCTATCTATCTATCAATCTTTCTGTCTATCTCTTTTGCAGCCTCACTATTTTATCATTCTTTCTGTGTTTCTTTTTTTTTTTTTTTTTCTTTATTTTTGAACATGCATGAGGTTACATTGCATCCTGCATTGCCACAACAGCAAATGCAAGGATTTGCGGTACATTCAGTGATACATGTGAAGTAATAGTGAGGACTACTAGAGATAATACTTGCATCATTTAGGAAAACAGCATGAAATTTTATATTTAACGATTAAGCTAGCAACAGTATTGTAGATACAACATGAGTTAGTCAAGGTAATGTAGACTTAACTAGTGGCTCATTTTTAAGTTAGAGATCATGCAGGCTAAACGTAAACAGGCTTAGTTAGTTATGTAGCTATACAGTAGGTTCAGTAACTTCAGTTAAGATGTAGTGTGGAATAAGAGTGTACGTTGCTGTGAGTGCCGTATACATTGCGCTAACTTGCGGTCACTGGTAGATACAACTTATAGATTAACTTTTATACTATGTCTAGGTAGGTCATATTATGAAGACTAGTGGGGTTACACAATGTGGGGCAACTGTCACCCTGATGGATCGTAGTTCCCAGAGCTGCCTCCGTGTGGGGGATATCGGTATCCTGGTGGTCCCAAGGCCACTCAGACAGGGGTAGTCCCGCTTTTATCAGATACCTCTTCTGCTGTGTTCAGGTGGTAGGGGGCAAGTGTCCATCAGAGCAGGCATCAGAGTGTACTTTGTCCTCATAGACTCCTGCATAGTTCTTTGGGTGCATTCGAGTTGCAGCCTTGGCGTTTGCTGTCTTCCCTTGTCTGCAGGCTGATGTCCGCCATGCGTGAGAGCTGGGCTTTGTCCATGGGAGTCCGCCGCTTTTGGGGTAATCCTGTTATAGGCTGAGTGGTAAATGAGTGCTGCCGGCAGAGGTGTCATGCTGGGCAGCTGGCGCAGTTACCCCAGGCGGGGAATGGTTGCTGTTAGGAGTTCCGCCCTCCCGGTGCAGCCGCAAACTCCCGCTTGTTCCGGTCGCCCATGCATCTAGTTGCTGGCTTGGGTGATAAGGGTAGGCTCTGTGTTTGCCGTTTCCCTATGTAGTGGGATCGGGATGTGGGAGCTGTTTTTGGTGTGATCATGAGGAGGTGGGAGGTGTTCCCCTTGTTGTCTGCGTGCAAGACGCCCGCCATTTTGGAGGCAGCAGTCGGGCTTCTCGGCCTCAGTCGTGGAGTCACATTCAGGGCCGCAGGGTGAGGACCGGGATCACCCCCCCGGTCCATAGGGGGGGGAACGGAGCCGGATCCGCGCCGGTCTGTACCGTTGGTCTGGTTCTGTGGTGCAGGATAGTGAGGCAGCGGCCGTCTGCCTCACTCACCGCCGGAGAAGGCCCCGGTTGGGGCAACATGTTTTTCTCCCCCAGGGGACTGAAGCTCAGTGAGCCAGCCTCTCCCCGGGTTCTTTCTGTGTTTCCATCATTCAAATGTTAATATTAATGGTGAACTGTCACTTCTTTGGAATATACACGATTGAATAAAAATAAAAACAATCACATAGAACTTGTGTTAGCCTTTTTCATGAGATATGCCATTTTCTTTTAAATGGGATCCATATCCAAACAACATTATAATACAGTTCAGACAGGGCAAGGCAATCATTGCAAATGGCAAAGGACAAACAGAGACATTGAGAGAAACTCTTCTCTGTATATTTTGTTTAGGCCGACTGCCAGATGCAAAAGACGGAGCTTATAAAAATTATTGACAGGAAGCTAAGATGGAGGCGCCCAGCTACAACATAAAGAGATGTGGATTTTTACATTTGATTTTATTCTTCATTCCTCACAAATAGATTTAAGGATACTGAACTTAGTATATTAATATTCTTGGTAAACAACAGTTTTCTTTTCTAAGGGGCAATCTAAGCAGTCCTTCTTTCTCTTAAAGATCCCATTAAAAAAAAAAAAAAACAGACTTAAAAATAAAAAAAAAGTGGCATCATGCAAATAAATCTGTATGACTTTGTTCATGAGGTCATATAGACTTACTTTAAATGTTTTCTAAGTGAAGTCGTCTAGAGATTAGCATATCTAAGCTGAACCAATTTGTTTTGAAAGCTACATTATAAGTCATTTTAAACCTAAGTGACTGTATAAAGAGTCCAATTGCATTTAAACTTGAAGTTAAAAAGGACAAAAAAACAAAACAAACAGTTTTGGTTGTATCACTTAAACCTATTGAGCTACCAGATAAAATTCCACTGACTTAAATGAACAAGCCAAGCAGTTATTATAAAAATAACAAAACATAATACTTGTAGAGACAACATTTAATACATAAAGCCAGTTATTATTTCCAACCCAGTTGGTCACATAGTGAAGATGGATCTTGAGTGCACTAATATCAGTTTTTTTCACTAAAGTAAGAATTCAGAGTAAATTTTAAATTTAAAGGGTCACTCCAGACGCCTAAACAACTTTAGCTTGCTGAAAAGCTTTATGTGTGAAGAGTGTGTCCTCTTTTTTCATTTTGCAAAAAGTGCAGATTTTAATAGAAATTAATACTTTTATAAAGTAACCTGGCTGCACCCACTTGGCTTTCAAGCAGATAACAGATAATGTTACTTCCTGGTTTTGTTAGCTCAATGCAGCTAAACTCAAGAGGCAGCAATTGCCCAGAGCACCTGACTTACAGAAACTTCTCATTGAGCTGCATTGGGAAGTCTGTGATTGGACAGCCACAGAATGTCTGGGTGGGGTTAGAATAGGAGGGCTTGCAAAGGCAGCAGACAAGAGAACTGCAGGTTTTGCAGACTGATTTTAGATATAACACCAATGAAAAAGTACATAATTAAATGCATGCATGTTTTTATTTGGGGTATATCTACTAAACAGTAATATTTAAAAATGTTGTATTTGGAAAGTGGGGTGTCCCTTTAAGATCTAAATAGCCGAACTGGAAAAATTATCTAAATCAACTATGCTTTCAGTTTGGCTACTCTGGTCTTTAATTTGAAATATATTTTGAATTCTCACTTTAGTAAGTAACCCTGTATGATACATAGACATCACCAACGTGATCATTTGCACACTAACCAATCCTGCCCAACGTTCTGCATACACCAACAAATGGGTTGGTTTATAAAAACCGCACAAAGACAATGCAAATTCCACAGCCAGATAGGAATTATTTATACTATAGTTACATTGTAAATTTCACTATATAAATAAGACTGTTGGCAGCCTAGGTTCTGTAAAGAAACCCCAGAGGCATGTAGTCTACGGAAGCCCCAGGAATGTAGTCTGTCAGAGGAGTCAGAGATAGGGTGGCAGCAATACTATCTACTCAGTGTTTCTCACCTTTTATTAAAGGACCACTATAGTGTCAGGAAATCAAACTTGTTTTCCTGGCACTATAGGGTCATTAGTTCCCCCCTACCCTCAGGGTTCCCCTCTCACTGGGCTGAATGGGTTAAGACCTTTCAGCCACTTACCTTTCCCCAGTGCTGGGCTCCCTCTGTGCTGAGGAACTCTCCACCCCCTGCCAATGTCAGATCTGAATGCCCATGCGCAAGAGCCGTGCGCGCATTCAAACCGCCCATAGGAAAGCATTACTCAATGCTTTCCTATGGACGTCCAGTGTCTTCTCACTGTGATTTTCACATTGAGAATCGCGGAAGCGCCTCTAGCGGCTGTCAGTGAGACAGCCACTAGAGGCTGGATTAACCCTAGTATAAACATAGCAGTTTCCCTGAAACTGCTATGTTTATAGCAGGCAGGGTTAACACTAGAGGGACCTGGCACCCAGACTACTTCATTGAGCTGAAGTGGTCTGGGTGCCTATAGTGGTCCTTTAAACATTAACTCATTTGTGTCTTTTGTTCAGCTATAATAGTTTGTTTCAGATCTTTTTATAAAAAAACTAGTTCACCAACATACAACATTCATTCTTTAGATTGTAAGCTTGTTTGGGCAGGGACCCCTTTATCTTGTTTTGTTAGAATCAAATGTCTGTCTTGTTTTCTATTGCAAAGTGCTGCGGAATATGTTTGGCACTATATAAATAATAATAGTTATAATAACTAGTATAAATAGATTGACTCAAAGATAGAATTTAACCATCACCCATTGGCTTTCACTTAAAGAGACTCCTGAAGGCTCCCTGACCACTTTATCTCAGAGAAGTGGTCTGGGTGCCATGTCACTGTAGTTTTAAACCTGCAACAAGAAATATTTTCATTTAGCAGTAACGCCAGTGTTAACATTGTAGGATTAACATTCCTATCGTGGCAGTCTCACTGAGAGCCACTAGAGGCGTTTCCACCCAAAAAAGTTTAACTTGGCTATTCAAACAGATGGTCTCATAGACCATCTCATTTTGCTGCACATGCGCACTAACCTCCTAGTGATTCTCTATGGGGAAACATTAGATTGGCTGAGATCATCTACACCACCAAAGAGGCAGAACAGAAGGACAGAGATCAGTGTAAATCTCACCTTTCAAACCCTCACAAGGCCGGGGGGAAACTAAAATAGGTAGATAGGTAGTGTTAACAATTTTTGCATTCCTAATGCTATAATGTCTAACGTACTTGGTCATTATTCAACTATATTCCTAGAAACTGGAATGGAGGTACCCCAGTCTTTTTAAAATGAGCGTCATTTAAATTCCTCTGGACCAAAATAAAAGCAAGCCCAAGTTTCAGAGGGCTGTATGAGTCATACAAAGCAGGGGTGTGTGATAACAGACAGGGCTGGGTCACTGACTGACACAATGAAACGTTCCTATTTAGAGATTTGTAAAACTGGTTCAAGCCCCTGAAATTCAGGCCTGAATGATGGAACCACACCTTGTCCTGCTTTACATAGTAGTAATACCATCAGCAATGACATGATTATATTTTATACGAGAGCTCAGGTAAAAATATAACTCACCTAGGTAGATACTGGAAGTGCTACGTGATCTTATCACAAATTAAAGATCCCAGCTATTTGTCACTGGAATAATATTTAGAAGTTGGTAGCGTTTTTATGATAGTCACAAAGTTATTTATTAATCTAAATTTGATACTTTTTTTTGTGTGTGTGTGAGGTTGGTTCCTGGCTGTCAATAAGCCAACTGGCTAGCAGTCATGGCTAGCAATATCAGTTTTCTGCTATTTTTTTCTTTTATGTCAGCAGACACAGCATGCTAACCCCAGATGTCTCGGGCATCTCAATCATGTCGATTTCAACAGGACAGTCCCAATTTTCGGGTCCTGTCCCTCTGCCAAAGCTTAGTTCCCTGGTGTTCCATGTTTGGGGACACCAGGGAACAATCCTAATCAGAATAGCGCGGGCTATTACACTTGTTCAGGGCACTCAGACCCTACAAGGGCTCCCTGATGGGTCTGCCCTCAGTTGGCTGGCCTTAAAAGAGCAGACAGTGCTTTCACTCAAGCACTGTCCCCCAGGAAAGGGGGACATGCTCATTTTCTGGGCAGGATCACCCTATTAAGGGCAGAGCCAGTGATGCATCACACCTTTCCCCTCTACCCCTTTCCCACCGGCATCCCGATTCTCTGGATGCCAGAGTAGGGATTTATCTGGCAGGGTGAGTTACACATACAGTGTCAGAGATTCTGCTGCCCGTGTCTCAGGCAATTTAACTGTCCAACTCCCTGAAATGTATTTTTCCAACAATTTAATTAAATGTATTAAAACATATATATGAATTTTTGAAGTTGTGCTTTAAAGGTCACAACAATTCTGTGATCAGTTAACAAACCCTGCAGTATAATATCTTTCTGATGGTTTGCCTTTCAAGTTTCCCAGGTACTTCAACATGCCTACATTTACATTTCTTTATTTTTTTATGTACTTTTTAGACTCAGATTTTGTAATTCGGTGATTAGGGAATCAGCACTCATTTACAATGGTAATTTTTCCTATATTTAACTATTATGAAACCAAAATGAACACATGCATGTAAGTGTCCCTATTTAGATGGGCAGTCCCTATTTCGGGCCTAAATCCTTCTGTCCCTCTATTCTATCCTAATATCCCTCTTTTCTAGAAGCTCCATATTGCTGATGTGCCTGAGTGTAAAACAGAGCTCCACAGCAATAATACACATAGTAATATATCTCTAAACTACAAGAAATGTGTTTAAAAATCAATCTGTGTGAACAAGATACTGAACATTGTTCTTCTAAATTATATTTTAATTGCATACATTCTTATTAGTAAGTCATGTAAAATGTTTCAGATCATCCCTGCCCCTAACATACTGGAAAAACTACTGGAGTCAGTTCACAAAGCACTGATTTGTGCCAGAATTCTGAGAAAGGGTTAGTTCAGAATTCTAAGATGAACCGAGCCACGACAAAGTTAAACTCTTCTAAATTCAGCAGCAAGATCTCTTGACATCTTAGATCAGCTTAAAAAAAAAGGTATGTCCACTTTCAACTCAATAACACATTCCTTTAACACATTGCTATTAATTTCAGATAGATTTTAACTTTTGAGCTCTGCCAATGTTTCCTTACATTTTGACTACATGCAGAATACAATATGGAAGTGAAGAAGACTTTTGTGTGCCAGTAAGTCTATTTACAGTGCACTCGTCATGCCAAACAAGACTTGGTGTCAATTTAATGAGCAATACAGTTGCATCTATACACTGTCCTTGCCAAGTTCCTATTAAATATATAGATAGAAATGTTTTACCATATGCATTTTACCACTCATGCTTTTACTGCTATGCCACTGGCATAGTTATAAAGACTACAAGTACGTAAAACACAAACAAGCACCACAGTAACTTCTCACCATACCCAACTCAATGAGTGTTCCACTAGAAAGTCATGTGCAGGAGGAAACAGAGATCTTTAGTTAAAGGGACACTATAGTAACCAAAACAACTCTTGCTTAATGAAGCAGTTTTAGTGTACAGATCATGCCCCTGCAGTCTCACTGCTCAATTCACTGCCATTTAGGAGTTAAATAACTTTGTTTATGCAGTCCTGGTCACACCTCCCTGCATGTGACTTACACGGCCTTCCTAAATACTTCCTGTAGAGAGTCATCTAATGTTTATACTTCCATTAATGTAAATTCTGTTTCATTTAGAATTTCTTATCTCCTTTTCTGCTAATAGCTTGCTAGATCCTGTAGGAGCCCTCTGTATGAAATTAAAGTTCAATTTGCAAAGCAGAATAGAAAAACTTCTAAAGTAAGTATCATCTGATTGAAAATAACATCACCAGGGCAGGTGTGGCTAGGGCTGCAAGGACAGAAACAAAAGTGATAGAGAATTGATAGGACAGAGAATTGAGCAGTGAGACTGCAGGGGCATGATTTATACATCAAAATTGCTACATTAAGCTAAAGTTGTTGTGATGACTATATTGTTCCTAGTGCATCATTTATCCTAGACATTAGCTGGTGCTGTACACCATAAAGAAAACTTGTTACGCACACAGAATTCTTGGAATCTATATTTATAGTCATGTTAAATGACCCTGTATCAATATACCTGCTAGCTGTTTGGCTAGCACAATCTTTATATGAAATTATGAACACATGGAAGTTTTACTCTACATTTTACGCTAAATTATTGTAAATTTTTACAATAAAAATATGTATTGAAAGTCAATGTCAGATGTGCCCTCGTTTAAAAAGCTGTGTCTGCTTTCGTGGTTTTATATATAGGTATGAGACTTTCTATAATACATCCAGGAGTAAAACAAAAATGTCTTTCACGTCACCTAGGTGCAAGTCTTTTCAGTCCCGTATATAGATGCAACTAAATTGCTGTTTCCTTCCCAAATCTCTTTCCCCCCGTCTATAAGTCTGATCCTTTTATATGACCTACTCATTTCACAATAACGGGTATCATAAATCTCGATTTAATATCATTGGATAAGATTTCCAAATGATTTCATATTTTTGTGTAAACTTTTACAATTTTAATATTATGAAAAATATTTACATTTTGTAATATTTAGATTTTTTTATATATATATATATATATATATATATAAATACATTTTTTTTATATATGTTATATTTTGTGTTATTTTAATATGTAAAAAAAAATCATTAAAAGTTTAGCAAAAAAATATTGGAAATTGGAAAGCTTATCTCACAATATTAAATCGATGCCGTAGCCCTCAAAAATCAAGGAAACAATCATCACTAGTAATGATGTTAAACCATAACTCTGCAGCTGTTGGTGAAACCCACTTCCATTTCGTAAAGCATTCTAAAGGAGAGATTTCTTACAAATGTGTATATTTGATGTCAAATGTCATTTGTGTATGTGCACCTGTATATAACGTGTGTATGTGAGCTTGTGCATAATGTATATAGGAAATGGTTGGTCGATATGTAAATTTGGCTGTGTTGGTGGATATATACAGGCTGTTACGACTGGGAGGATTGGTAGGTGTAGCTAAATAATTGGTCAGGGGTATGTGAACAGGGAAATGGTTGATGGATAAGATGTGACAGGGTGGGTTAGTATGGGTAGCAGAATGGGCAAGTGGGGGTGGGTTTGGCTATAGGTAGGCATGTGATTGTATGGAGGTATGTGACTGAATGACAATATGTGACAGTTACAATACAGGGCAATTTAACTAAATGAGGGCTGATGAAAGAAACAGACTGGGTTCACGTTACACCCATTTATGTTGTTGACAAGCTAGCTAGGTGGGCTACTACATATAAAGAATCGACAGGAGCTGCAGACTGTGTAAATCCACCTTCAATCGTATGTGAGTCGTCTGGGTGCACTTCACATTTATGCACCTCCTCAGCTCACCCATAAGTATGTCACTAAAACTAAAAAATAAAAACCATGCAAGTAAATGCCGAAGTGAGTGCTGCTCTCCTGTAACACAGTATGTCTTTTGATCCAAGCTAGCTCTGACCTGAAACCTTTATAGACAAACACCCATTTATATTAACCTCTGTGTTTCACCATCACATCTGAGGAATCTGTGTTATATTAACACACCCTCGTAAAATAGCTTAATGCAATCCAGCTAAAACCCACCCTTTTTTATTGAGAACCAGTCCCAATCCCTGAGACAAGCATTTTGGCACAATTCTGATTTCAGGACTCTGGCTACAAAATAAGCAAGGGATCTAATAATGAGAATACAGCATTGGTGGAAGAGGGGGTTGCAGATATTACACAAGACGCAGCAGTATTTGTTGCAACCTCAAACGGATATAAAAAGGTTGGATATTTGATTCCCAAGTACGGTTTACATGCTGTGCATACCTCCCTATATTTCGTATGTGTCACCTTTAGGGAACATGGCAATGGGGGGGCATCACTAACCATTTTGAGCGACTTTGTGACATAGGCCTGTCATACTTAAAGAGACACTATAGGTACCAAAACAAATTTAGCTGTTAAATCACTTATACACCCCTAGTCACATCTCCCTGCATGTGACTTACACAGCCTTCCTAAACACTTTCTGTAAAGTCATCTAATGTTCAAACTTCTTTTGTTGCACATTCTGTTTAATTTAGAACTTCCTATCTCCTGCTCTGTTAATAGCTTGCTAGACCTTGCAGGAGCCTCAATTGTGTAATTAAAGTTCAATTTACAGAGCAGGATGTAGAAACTTCTAAAGCAACTGTTCTTGTAGTTCTCCAACATCTGGGGATCTACCTTTTGAGCACCCCTGAGCTATAGACTAATACTGCTTCATTAAGCTAAAGTTGTTTTGGTGCCTATAGTGTCCCTTTAACCCCTTAACGACACATGACATGTGTGACATGTCATGATTCCCTTTTATTCCAGAAGTTTGGTCCTTAAGGGGTTAAACAGATTTCACGTAGTTTAACCACATGGCAATGTGCATTCTATTTCTATGTACTAACTATTTAGATTTGGAATTTCCCCCAGCTCCCTGTTTTGAAATTCAAGGTAAAAACAACCGAACTGGAAAAATTCTCTAAGCCAGTTATGCTTCCAGCTTGACTACTTTGGCCTAAAATTGGAAAATCACTTTTTAGTTCTCACTTTATTGAATAATCCTGTATGTGTTTTACTGCTGTGCAATGTTCATGCCACTTATTACGAATGTTAATTCACTAAACTGGGAACTGGAAAAACTGGAAACTAAACTTTTCTTATCTTAGGCACAAAAAGAATAAGTGGAAAACAAAACAGTGCTTCGGTGATCTGAAATTTGCCATTTCTGTCTCAATTTGGGGTATGCTTATGCACATTCTGTCTGTTTGTTTTGCTGTGGAAAACCACAATTAATTCCTACACATAACACATTGCTGTGTGTTTTAATGCTATGGAGCCCTGTGTTTTATTTATTACCAAGTGTCCCTATTTGCTAGGGTCAGTCCCTATTTTGGCCCAATTCCATCTTTCCCTCTTTTCTATCTTAATATGTATTTTCTAGGAGCTCCATATTGTTTGTGTGTCTGGGTGTATAACAGAGCTCCACAGGAATAATACTCACAGTAATGTTTAGAAATCAGATACATTGTTCTTGTTCTAAGTTACAGTTTAGTTGCATAAATTGTAATTAGTAAGTCACCTCAAATAGCTCCATCCCTGGCCCCACCCCATTCACGCCCCTAAAATTGATGGCTTCTTCTTAGTCCATTTGAAATGTTGGGAGGTATGCTGTTCATTGTGAATTTTACTCCTGTTGAAGTCTGTGTTACACTCACACATACTAAGCAACGCTAAGTTTTGTTGCTGTGGAGCACTGTGAGTTTAACTGCTGATGAAGACTCTGATACAACAACATACTAAATAACACTGTACGTAGATGTGGTGTGCACAAGCTTGCTTAGCTCCTTGGAGTGGACTTGAACAGGTGGAGACATTTGGGAAGCACTGCTGCTTGTGAGCTTGCATCCCATCTGTTACTATGTGATGTATGCCTCCAAATCCCCTACCAGTGGGCATCCTGCTTCTGCCCATTGTAAAAGCTGAACTGTGTACCTCTACTGTCTTAGAGGCAATTCACTTAATCACTTCTAATATATAATATATTTATATGTTTATTGGTGCATACAGTAGCTGGTTCTACATTGTAAACTAAAACTACCCTTATGTTCGCAAGGCCCTATGTGGACCGTGTTGTGCCCCCTCTCCTCTGTCTACATATACATGATTAACATTGCATACATAACTAGCCACTTACACACATTTTAATAAAACAACAAACACATACATACAGAATGATCCATCCATACACATGTAATCAGCCAAACACACGTACTTACATAACTAAACACACTCACATATATAACTTTCCACACAGCAATCTAATTAGAAACATAGGCAGACACACAGTTACACATTAGCATGCAGACACACACTAGCACACATACACACACTTGCATGCAGACACATACTAGCACACATACACAGACACACAGTTCTAGTGTGTGCTAGAACAAATATACACACTAGCACACAGGTACACACTAGCATGCAGACACAGTTACACACTAACATGCAGACACACAGTTACACAATAGCATCCAGACACATACTAGCATATAGATGAACGCTAGCATGCAGACACACACTAGCACAAATATACACACTAGCACGCAGTTATACGTTAGCACGCAGACACACACTAGCACAGAGATGAACACTAGCATGCAGACACACAATAGCACAAATATACATACTAGCACGCAGACACACACTAGCACACGGATGAACACTAGCATGCAGAGACATACTAGCACATATACATATATGCTCTCACACAGACGCACACTAGCACATATGCATAAACATACTAGTGCACAGGTATATTAACACCCACTCACACATGCATAAACATATGTGTATATGTTATAATTTTATTGTACATCCCTCTTCTCCGCTTGAATCACATTATTTCAGAGAGGGAGATGGGTCCATGTGTTGAGCAAGAGACAGTACAACCTTCTTCTCCTGCTCCCCTTTGGCATATTGTCCACGGTATCAGTGTTACTATTCGGTGAGTTAGCAACAAACTGTTACTGCTTCCTCAGAGGGACTGTTGCTCCAGTATACCAGCTTGCACACTGAGTGGCACTGACTGTGGCATTTGGAAGGCCCCAGTTGGTGTGTACCTTAGTGCACGGTCTGTTCACCAATACTAGTATTTGCTTTTAGAGGCCTGACAGTCACTCACATATTTTCATTTTCTGACCTCCCACGGTTGAGGGAACGCCAAGCATTGGTATAACCTTGGGGGTCACTTCTGCTACGATGTATTCCCTAAACAGCAAATTCTACTGTATTTAAAACCGAATTGCTAAATTTTAGGCAAAAACAGCCAAGCTGTGATTGCAATTGAGTTGGAGAATTTTTCCAAATCATCTAGTGTTGCCTAAATTCTGCAATTCTGCTTTCACTCTCTTACAATTCACTGTTTAGTGAATAAACTTCTTCAAGTTAAATGTCCATGAATTGCAATGAAATCTTATGTAATTCTCAATGAAATCACATTGCCATCCAGCAATACCAGTGTTTAGAACTCCTGCTGCTTTAACTGTGACTTACATGGAATGTTCAGTCAGTGAGTTGACTGTACCTAGGAATGTCCACCCTATGATCCTCAGCCAACACAAACATTGCTCATCCCTTAAAGTTATGTGAGCATCCAAAAATATAAAAAATAAAGGAGGAGTAGATTCAAGGCATAGCCTCCCAGCTGAGGTGGAAAAGGGCAGTAAGGGAAATGAAAACTATTTATGCAACATAAAGGTGTATCCTGAATACAAAAGAAGGCATAGATTAAATAATGTCTGAGGTTTTACAGCTGGTAGGGAAAATGGCAGGCTGGGTGCGACTTGCTGACTTTGAATCATTGTCTACCTGCTGATCAGGTTTTGAGTGGCACAGGGTCACCGCCTAAAATTTGTCACTTTTGCACCTTATCACAGGCAACACCCAAACTGCCCAAATTCCACTAAACCGAGTAGATCGAGATCATACATGTCACTATATTACCAATGATTAAGGGTTTGAGTCAAAACATTCTGAAAGTTCATTTTTCAGGGTTTTTTTTCTGCCTACAGCAATGTTTGCTCTGTGTCTTGCAGGAAAACATAGCGCTACTGTGTATAAAGACATTTTTTCTTGCACACGAAAGGTTAAATCTCACTCTGCTTTAAAGAAAGTATTTAACCCTAGATCTCTCATGTCATTCTCCTGACAGCAAAGTAACAGCTAGATTTTAGAACAGGCTAAACAATTGTAGTATCTCATTGCGACCGATCTCCAGTTTAGCAAAGAATTGCATTTTATATATGAGAAGTGTCAGAATATGAAAGAAAACAATGAAGTGGCCTCATTGGCTGATATTGAAACGAATGCAAGAAAAAGTACAGAGATCTAAGCCAGAATTGCAAATTTTAGGCTAATATGGCAACAATTTTTTAATTCCCTTGTTGATTATTTAAATGACTAGTTTGTTATATAACCACAGTTACTTTACAAACAAGCACTACTGTATGCCATGATTAGCTGGATGGCTGATTTCTGAGTGATCACTTTATTTCCAGTTGTCAAATACACATTTTTCTAGGGAATGTTTGTAGATAATCATGTATTTGAGGTAATTAAAATCAAACGCTGTGTATCTTTAGTAGTAAGACATAATAATAAAGCCTAGGACTGTAAGCCTTTTATGCTGTTGCATTCCATAAGTAGAGATCAAAAAATTTGAGCTAAACATTTTTCTGATAAAATGTATCTCAGATAATGGATAATGCTAAGAGGCTGCTGTTGCATGTTCTAAAAGCTTCATACATTGTCTTGTTCCATTCTATCATTCCATGACAGTTATAGATCTATTTCATTCACTGTCATCCACCCTCCATTCGTGAGCACTTACTTGCTGTATTTCGAAGGCGACTTTGTAGGAGACTTTGTTGGAGACTTTGTAGGAGATTTGCTTTGTCCTTTGAACATTTTGGCGTTTACCCCTTCTCGGCGGCTTCTTTTGGGTCCCAAGCCTAAGTCCTTCTGTACGTTGCACCTGAAGAGATGACAGCGACCAGCTGGAGATCTGAAGAGTTGTAGGACAGGACGGTACAGGAGACGTCAGACTCCTCCCTGGAGATTTTGCCTGTGTGATGGGACCTGACTGAAGACAGAGTAGGTGTAAATAACCAGTAAAACCAGTTGGATGGAACTAAGAGAGGGAGAGACACTAACTTTGTGACCCCACCCAGAGAGACTGTCCCATGAAAACAATTTAAGAGCATTTTTTCTGACACCGTACGTATCTGTAAGAAATATGTGCAAATACACTCTTTTGAATTTCTCTGCACGCCTTTCTGCAGATGACAATAGCACAGGGGAAATACTCATTGCTGCACTTACCTGTCACTGCCCAGCAGCAGGTCATCCGGGGCCCAACTTCCGATAGTGTAGGCAATGTAAACCAGGGTTAAGCTACATCAAGCTATAAACTACTGTGTTGAATTAAAAAAAATGTAGTGTTTTATTCCAATGAATCTACGTGCAGTCTACAGAACCAAAATAACTTTACAGAAGCCGTCAATATTTCGGTCAATCATCACTTATTTTACTTTATAGTGGTTTTTACTGATACAAAGAATGATGTCTTTAAAAGTCCAAAATTTATAGAGTAACAAAAAATTAGGTTTTAGTTTTATTAAATTCAAGACTGGCATCATATGCAGATTCAAAATATCCTTGGAATGCTCAAATACATGCAAGGAAATACACACACAGCATATTGAGCAGATGAATAACAAAGACAAAATGTATATCAAACCACACAACGTGAAAAGGTAATAGATATGCAGAAAATACAACCTGAGCTTGTCAGTATAATCAGGTGGTATCTAAAAGCATAAGATAAAATACAACATAGTGTAATCTGTATAAAAACAATAAGAATAGGGCAAAACAGACTATCACTCACATTATGCAGAGCCGTCCCAGGCTCTGTATTGTAGGCTCAAAGGTGCCAATACAGGCAAACGAAATTCCCAGAAAGTGGATGGAGAAGTTGCTCAAAAGATATATATTTATTAAGTAAAATTCAAAATTATAAAAGCTCGAGGTAATAGGGGAGTGGAATCCAGACCATGCAAACAAAAGGATATCCACTTACCCCAAACAGCAACCAAGAGCAAGTGCATAGAATGAACACAAATAAAAATAATAATAAAATACAGCTGGGTAACAGCAGCAAGCAGCAGACGCGTTTCGGCTATACAAGCCTTCTTCAAGTGCTAGTATTGGGGTCTCCGGAGCTTCCTTAAATACTTCAAGTCATTATAAACACATGTGTATAGTCTCCGTTTGATTCTGTCACTTCCGGTATTTTCAAATGACGTCACTTCCGGTTAGCGGCGTTTGGAACGCATGGTGGAACGCATAATGGAACGCATGGTGGAACGCAAACTTCACCATGCCGTTTTCTTGCCGACCGGATAGCAAAGTCCATAACATATGAAATGTAAATACAAAACGTATAAAAAGGAAGAAATAGTTAATTCAGTTCAATTGAACATACATATGAGGCAATAGACATATAACAAGTATATAAATATAAGAAAATATATAATTAAAATAAGAGTTGGCAATAGATGGAAAATAAAAGCAATAAAGGCATAACAATATCTTAAAAAGATAAAAAATTAAAAAATATTTATCAATATAGAAATTACTCTAAAAATTGGCTAAATTCAAAATCTAAATTAAGTCCATTGGGAGATAATGTGTCTACTTCAAAAATCCATTTACTTTCTATCTTAGCCAACTCTTTTACATTATTTTCACCTCTCCAATTTTTTTCTTTTTTAAAAATGGCCATAAATGATAATACTGATGGATCACTTCTATGTTTTTCAGCAAAATGTGCTGACACACTATGTTTAAGATATCCCCTCTGTATATTGCCCAGGTGTTCCGCAATTCTGGTTTTTAAAGCTCTAGTGGTCATCCCAATGTATTGCAGACCACATGGGCACCAGAGAAGATATATAATATTAGTCGATTGACAAGTTAAAACCTGGCGAATGGAGAACAAGCGATGATTATAGCAAGAAGAAAAAGAGGTAGTTTTTTGTTTTTTAAAAAGAGTCTTCCTACACGCCACGCAAGATTTACAAGGGTAAAAGCCTTGTTCTACATTAAAAAAGTTTTTTTGTTTTTTATCTTTAATAAAGCTAGTAGTTAAATGTTGTTTTAAATTTTTTGCACCTCTATATATTATAGTCGGTTTCTCTCCTATAATATTTTTAAGAGCTGGGTCAGATCTAAGAATGTGCCAATATTTATTTATAATATGTTTAATTTGCCTAGCGTTTTCATTATAATTTAAAACAATAGGGACTCTTACAAGTTTTTCATTATTTTTCACTATTAATTTCTTTTTTGGTTTTAAAATTTCTTTTCGCTCTTTATCTTTGGTATTTTTAATAAAAAAATCCAAAGACTTTGGATCATAATTTTTTTCCACTAGCCTAGTTTTTAAAAATTGTGCTTGTTCTTCAAAGTATTTGAAGAACAGGCACAATTTTTAAAAACTAGGCTAGTGGAAAAAAATTATGATCCTGTTTTTAAAAATTGTGCTTGTTCTTCAAAGTATTTGAAGAACAGGCACAATTTTTAAAAACTAGGCTAGTGGAAAAAAATTATGATCCAAAGTCTTTGGATTTTTTTATTAAAAATACCAAAGATAAAGAGCGAAAATAAATTTTAAAACCAAAAAAGAAATTAATAGTGAAAAATAATGAAAAACCTGTAAGAGTCCCTATTGTTTTAAATTATAATGAAAACGCTAGGCAAATTAAACATATTATAAATAAATATTGGCACATTCTTAGATCTGACCCAGCTCTTAAAAATATTATAGGAGAGAAACCGACTATAATATATAGAGGTGCAAAAAATTTAAAACAACATTTAACTACTAGCTTTATTAAAGATAAAAAACAAAAAAACTTTTTTAATGTAGAACAAGGCTTTTACCCTTGTAAATCTTGCGTGGCGTGTAGGAAGACTCTTTTTAAAAAACAAAAAACTACCTCTTTTTCTTCTTGCTATAATCATCGCTTGTTCTCCATTCGCCAGGTTTTAACTTGTCAATCGACTAATATTATATATCTTCTCTGGTGCCCATGTGGTCTGCAATACATTGGGATGACCACTAGAGCTTTAAAAACCAGAATTGCGGAACACCTGGGCAATATACAGAGGGGATATCTTAAACATAGTGTGTCAGCACATTTTGCTGAAAAACATAGAAGTGATCCATCAGTATTATCATTTATGGCCATTTTTAAAAAAGAAAAAAATTGGAGAGGTGAAAATAATGTAAAAGAGTTGGCTAAGATAGAAAGTAAATGGATTTTTGAAGTAGACACATTATCTCCCAATGGACTTAATTTAGATTTTGAATTTAGCCAATTTTTAGAGTAATTTCTATATTGATAAATATTTTTTAATTTTTTATCTTTTTAAGATATTGTTATGCCTTTATTGCTTTTATTTTCCATCTATTGCCAACTCTTATTTTAATTATATATTTTATTATATATTATTCTTATATTTATATACTTGTTATATGTCTATTGCCTCATATGTATGTTCAATTGAACTGAATTAACTATTTCTTCCTTTTTATACGTTTTGTATTTACATTTCATATGTTATGGACTTTGCTATCCGGTCGCAAGAAAACGGCATGGTGAAGTTTGCGTTCCACCATGCGTTCCATTATGCGTTCCACCATGCGTTCCAAACGCCGCTAACCGGAAGTGACGTCATTTGAAAATACCGGAAGTGACAGAATCAAACGGAGACTATACACATGTGTTTATAATGACTTGAAGTATTTAAGGAAGCTCCGGAGACCCCAATACTAGCACTTGAAGAAGGCTTGTATAGCCGAAACGCGTCTGCTGCTTGCTGCTGTTACCCAGCTGTATTTTATTATTATTTTTATTTGTGTTCATTCTATGCACTTGCTCTTGGTTGCTGTTTGGGGTAAGTGGATATCCTTTTGTTTGCATGGTCTGGATTCCACTCCCCTATTACCTCGAGCTTTTATAATTTTGAATTTTACTTAATAAATATATATCTTTTGAGCAACTTCTCCATCCACTTTCTGGGAATTTCGTTTGCCTGTATTGGCACCTTTGAGCCTACAATACAGAGCCTGGGACGGCTCTGCATAATGTGAGTGATAGTCTGTTTTGCCCTATTCTTATTGTTTTTATACAGATTACACTATGTTGTATTTTATCTTATGCTTTTAGATACCACCTGATTATACTGACAAGCTCAGGTTGTATTTTCTGCATATCTATTACCTTTTCACGTTGTGTGGTTTGATATACATTTTGTCTTTGTTATTCACGTTTTATTGTGTTTGGGGAAACACTTTTATATCTTCCACCACTTTTATCTTTAGATTTACGAAGCGCCTATACACTAGTTTTTTGTCTTTTTTGTATTATATTGAGCAGATGGTACCACTGGTCACTTACAATGCAGCAAAATCATGTGTGTTTATGCTCAAATCTGCTACTCACTTTACACAAGCACACTTAAATTAGATTTAGATGGGAAAGAGCGACTGTAATGATCAGAAAGGTAACAGATCCTCCCCTAACCCATGTCATTTGTTGTCACCAAAGTCATATAACCCAAGTGTTTGCTTAATGAAAATAATAGTTTATACGTTTTCTAGCCATATTGCTAGAACAGTATATAGATAAAAGTAGTTGGTCATTAAAGCATCATAGTTGTCATGATGTAATCTCTTTCAAGCTGTTAGCATTTGAGCTGCTCTCTAGTTTTGGGAATTAGTTTATGCATCTAGTTCACAATATCTATGTACCCAGAATAAACTAATGACATCCTATTACCTTGAACATGCACTAGTGCTGTTTAAGTGACACGCTCTATTGGCCTGAATACAATGAAATAAAGTAGGCCATTGCAAAAAACGAAACGTACTATGGACCAAGGTTAGCGCATAACAAGAAAATGCCAATATAAAAATAAAAGTACTCATCTTTGAAGTTATTGAAACACTGACATGAAAGATGGTTTCCATGAGTCCATCTGATAGAAATAGCCAGCTTTTACTCGGCTATTTCAGAGGAGGCGCCTCTTGTAGATGCATGTCACTAGAGGCATTTAAACCCTGCAATGTTAACATTGCCATTCCTGCAGAACAGGAATGCTTTACATTGCTGGGTTAAACAGACAGTAGTAACATGGCCCCTACCTTGAGATTAAATTACCTGGGTGCCCATAGAGTCCCTTTAAAGGGGTAGTCTATGTGCCATAAATTCTCTGTTCCACTTTTTGCTCCTTATTTACCATTCTCCACCTCCATAAGGAGGTCGGCTGAGCCGCTTTGTCTTTTAGAGCTCCACATACATGGAATATCCTGCCAGACAATATCAAATCTTTCACCAATCTGAAGTGCCTGAAAACAGCCCCATCCATCGATATTGAACCAGAAACAGCTGCACTCATTGTTAATTTATAATTGCGTTGTATACATCTATTATATCTATTATACGTGTACCATTGTATTTGTATGCTCCCTGCAGGACATACTTGAAAACGAGAGAAATCTCAATGTATCTTACTTGGAAAAAAAAAATAATTATATACATAAATACAATAATAATTAAATATATAAATCAAATAATAAGCCAGTACTGTAAAAAATGCAACAAAGCATTGAGTAAAGAAGATACGATGGAGCTACGCTATTGAAAGCATGTCTCCTGCTTTCTCACACTCAGTCGCCAGTTAAAAAAATACAGCACAGCAGAGGTTTTCTGAGTCATAGAACCTGTGGCCTGAACATAGATCTCTAGACACATGACAGCCAGAGCTGGACAGATATCCCTCCATCCTTTACATAAGCTGCAGCTTTAATTCATCCATCCTTTAGAATCCTTATAAACATCTGCATAACGCTACTCCTACCTATCTATCCTCGATAATACACAAGTATGTCCCATCCAAGCCACCACGTTCTGTTGAAGATTTGCAACTTTTCTCTGTTCGTACTCGCACCTCTGACGCCCACCTTCAAGACTTCTCTAGAGCTGCACCGTTCCTATGGAACTCTCTTCCCTGCTCCGTTAGACTCTCACCCATTCTCAGTTACTTCAAAAGATCATTTAAAACTCACTTCTTTAGGAAAGCATATCAATTAAAGTGTTTATAGCTTTCCCTCCCCGTAACTTGGTAGCTCACCATGCTTCCTCTCCTGCAACTGTATCATCCAATAAACTATTTTAGTAAGCTACTTTTTTTCATGCATGAAATACATCCTACCCTTCCTGTGCCACTTTACCCCACTCCCTCTAGAACAGGGCTGCCCAGAAGATAGATCTCCAGATGTTTTAAAACTACAGCTCTCATGGTGCTTTGTCATTCTTGCAAAGCATTATGGGAGTTGTAGTTCCACAAAACCTGGGGATCTCTTGTTTGGCCACCCCTGCTCTAGAATGTAAGCTCTTTTGAGCATGGCTCTCTACACCCTCTGTTCCTGTGCATCCAACTCATCTTGTTGCAAATACTTTTCAGTCCACCTCTTTTTACAGTACTACCAAATTTGTTGGCGCTTTATAAATAATATTAATAATAATTCCAGAAGAACTATAGAAGCCTTAAGCCAAAGTTTCTCGAACTCTGACCTATCTTTGTGGAACATTCTCTTGTCAAATTCCTTTTTATTCTCTGTCTAATTTTCCCCACTTTCTCTATAGCCCAGTATCTATTTCCTCTTTTATTTACCAAGTTGTTTTCTCTTCTGTATTGTCTATTTTTAGTTTTATCAGTTTTCCTTTCCAAATCTATCTTATCTAGTTCTCATTTCCTTATGCTCTATCTTCCCAGTATTTTCCGTTTATCGTTCAACTTTTTCTCTCCCTTCATGCTATGCGATTGCCATTTTGTTTCTGCTATGGTTTTCTATTCCAATTACCTGTATTCACGGCTGGGGTTTCCCCATCAAGTGATCTGTTTGTGCTATCAAACAAATGTCCACCACTGTTCCTCTTTATGATTGTCACATACTGTTAAAATGAAGTATACTCTTAGAATAACTCTCACAGACAGTTACAGAAACTGGTAACTGGTAAGATGGTCTGACTGGAAGCCAACCGATATATACTATAATAATACTAATATGCAGAAGGTTGTGTTTAAAAACTTTATACCCATCCCACAAGTAGCAACATTTTGATTTACCTGAGACGTTATTAAACTTTATACACGCTCTGGTGAGCAGAAACATTGCCAGTTCCTTTAAAAAAAAACATGGGTTGGATGTTTGTCTTCTGTGTAATTTACTGGAGGGTTGGGTGACTCTCTCACGTGTCTCTCTTCCATGGGGGTCGATTTAGTGTGTACTCTTAACAAAAAAAACCTATTTGAAATGTTATAAAGCTTTTATTCAGCACTACCCTCGGAGATACCTTAGCCCACTCCCTCTAGAGATTTCCCAAAGTAATAAGAAAAGGACAACAACAAACAAACAAACAAACAAAAATCACAAACCTGCGGAAGGGTCAAGCATTATAAAATATGATTTCAAAACACCCGTACATTTCTGATCTTACGAAGATCTAGGTCTGTGCTAGCTTGTTCTGCTCCAAATTCTCCAAAAAGGATGGTTTGCCAAAACATTCTGTGATACAACTCTGAAATAAGCACAATAGATACATAAATAAAGGAGGCCCCATATTGTCATAAGGGATTGATTTATCATTGGTCCCTAGGTCCTCAAAGCCATCAAGATATATATGGTCGAATGCTCATGCTCCCTTACTTGTAGTGGGATTAAGGCGAAGGCGTAATAATATAACAGTGAAGCTAAGAGTCCCCAGGCCCCCTGAATCATATGTTTGCTCCCTGTCCCAATAATAAATAGCCAGGAACTCTACTCCCACAACCTGAAGGCCAGTTGCATCCCAGTACAAGGTTTAGAAGAAGAGCAGTGAGCCTTATTTTGCCTGATAATGTGTATAACCAGCAGAGTCTCATTCTATCTTATTTTAGCAATGTAAGACCCAGTAACACAGTGAATTTAAGGATTATTCGGTTTCGTTCATTCTCAATTTTACTCATGTCTTCATTCCATTCGGCAGATCAAAAAAAACAGTGAATGACAGTCAAACTGAAGGAACTCTATTGGGATTTTTAAATCAAATTGGGTATTAGTAACATACACTGTTTTTAAATGTCTTATCTCTGTTGAGCACTGTTCACTATCAAGTTAAGCCAGTGGCGGATCCAGAGCCTGATCTCGGGAGGGGCACTTGTAGATTATTTAAATAAATAATCCAGGCACAATAACCACTACAGCTCAGTGTAGTAGTTATGGTGTCAGTAGTGCCAGGATTCCACCCCAGAGTAAGTAGTCATACCGTATAAGAACAGTTTGTCAACTTACCTGGGGTCTGCTGGGATATAGGGTATAGGAGCAGTGGTGTGTGTTAAGGGTGAAGTGTGTGAGTGCGGCAGTGTATGTCAGGGACAGTGTTTGTGGGGCAGTGTGTGTATGGGGACAGTGTTTGTGGGGCAGTGTGTGCATATGGGGGCAGTGTGTGTATGGGGATAGTGTTTGTGGGGCAGTGTGTGTATGGGGATAGTGTTTGTGGGGCAGTGTGTGTATGGGGACAGTGTGTGTATGGGGGACAGTGTTTGTGGGGCAGCAGTGTGTGTATGGGGACAATGTTTGTGGGGCAGTGTGTG